CACAATTTTTTGAAGACAGGACTAAAAAATGGGTTTTTGTCTTTTTATACTCCAAATGACCCAAATGAGGAATATTACAATTTTAACAATATATATATTTTTTATAATTTGTTAAAAGATTATTTATTTGACAGAGAGACATCACAAGCAGAGAGGCAGGTAGAGGGGGCGGGGGAAGCAGGCTCCCCGCTGAGCAGAGAGCCTGATGCGGGGCTCGATCTCAGGACCCTGGGATCATGACCTGAGCCAAAGGCAGAGGCTTTAACCCATTGAGCCACCCAGGCGCCCCTTAACAATATTTTAAAGTCTTTTTCATTAAGATTAGATTCACCAATAAGCTTCCTTTACACCCACAACAAAAAATGTTTAGCATTCTCAAAATTGTAATACAACACTGATAGTCCCTTAACATATTTCCTGCAAAGTGAACATCTTAAAAAAGCTGTATTAGTCTTAATTCTATGTTCAGAATACAACATCCACGTTTTAAACACATCCATCCTCTGCAAACTGTCAATAATCCCTTTAGCTCACAATAAACAATCCTTTCCCCAGGGCAGAACACACTACACTCTAACATGCAAAATCATTAAGTCCATCAGATTCATTAATTCCACAAATATCTGTGGACCCCTTATAAGTCTGCCACTAGTCTAAGCACAGGGGGGGAAACGGACAATTTCTTGCCCTAAGTTTACCCTTACTTAAGGATATTATCAATGAATAAAGTAATAATCTCTCAGAAATCTGCATGCAGAATTACAAATAAAGCACAGTAAAGGGAAAGAGGAAGAGGAGTGCTATTTAGTGAACATCTCTGAGTAGGTGTCCTTTGAACCTTGACTGGAAGGAAGAACTAGACATGAAAAGATGCCTGTGGGATGAGTTCCAGGACTAGCACAGGTAAAGGACCTGAGTCAGGAGCAAACTTCGTCAACAGATCAGCTAGACTGTAATTTCTGTCTCCTACTTGGGGGTAAAAGCTATGTTTTATTAATACCTGTATCACCCCAGCTTCTACCAAAAGTTATGTGCAAAAGGTTAGGGGTCCCAGGGTGGCTCAGTGGGTTAAGCATCTGCCTTCAGCTCAGGTCATGATCCCAGGGTCCTGGGATTGAGCCCTACATTGGGCTCTCTGCTCAGCAGGGAGCCTGCTTCTCCTTTTCCCTCTGCCTGCTGCTCCTCCTGCTTGTGCTCTCTGTCAAATAAATAAAATATTTTAAAAACAGGGACGCCTGGGTGGCTCAGTTGGTCGGACGACTGCCTTCGGCTCAGGTCATGATACGGGAATCCCGGGATCGAGTCCCGCATCGGGCTCCCAGCTCCACGGGGAGTCTGCTTCTCTCTCACTGTGTCTCTCTCAAATAAATAAAATCTTAAAAAATATATATTTAAAAAACAAAATAAACACACACATAAAACAGAAGTTGTTAAATTAATACATACAGATTGTTGGCTACTTGCCTAATGACTGAACATAATCACTGCCTATCCGTCCCCTTTTCCATATGAGTGTACTGGCTTCTTTTTGACAGATCTGTCAATTGTCAAGGCATCCACAAACCAATGGGGGAATGCCTGTTTTCACAGATCAGACTGGAGACTTGAAACAAAAACCCTTCATAATCCTGTATTTTCGGAATTAAAAAAAAAAAGTGGTCTGACAGAGCGATCAAATATGTGACGAACGGAACTCTCCAAACCCTACTTCCTGGCAGGCACTAATAACTCAGGCAGTAAGGATGTCCTTCGAAACCTCTCAGTGCTGGGCTGGCGGACTCAGCGCGGATGAGTTTTCAACAAGCACAGCAGCACCTACAACATCCACTCATTGAAGACGAACCCGGCGGAGGGCTGGAGATAGGACTCTTCGGCCCCAACTTGCTAGCTCCTACTCTGGCAAACGTGTACTAAAGCAGCAGCTGAGTGCCTGCCTGGCGTGCAGGAGGCTCGCAGTAAGCAGTGATGGATGAAAACGAGGACAAAAGCACGTGGGCTTCACCCCGCAGAAGACCGGCCACGAGAAACACCCGAGCCCTTAAGGCTCCGGGATACAGGCCGGTTTTCTCCCCGGCGAGAAGAGTTTAGGGAGCGTCCTGGACGAAGAAAGGGAGGAGAGGGGCCTGGGCCCGCTGGCTGCCAACCGCACGGGGAGGCGGGAGAGCGCGGCGCCCCCTGCCGACCGGCCCCGGGAGGGGGGGCGGGGCTGGCACCGCGGGAGCCAGACCGCCGGCTCCAACCGCGCTCTCGCGGGCACGGTCCGTAATGGAAGCACCGCGGGCGGTCCGCGGGCTCAGGCCGCGTCCGGGACGCCTTCCCAGTGTGCACTGCCCCTCAGGGCGGGGCCCTGGGGCCGGGCCGTCGGCTAGCCGCGGAGCCCGGGGGCTGCGGCGAGGCCACGCACTTACCCGGGGCCTGGGAGCGCGGGCGCGGCACCGGCCGGGCGGCGAGGGGGCGGGCGTGCTGCTCCGGGCGCAGGAGGGCGGCGGCGGCGAACGCCACTCGGAAGAGCCAGCTGCGGGGGCGTCCCGACATAAGCAGCGCGGCCAGCGTCTTCAGCCCCTGCGCCGCGGAGCGCGCGCGGGGACTAGCCGGGCGCCGAGCTCTCACACGTGCCGCGCAGCGACGCGCCGCCGCTGGTCGGCCCCACCCCCGGGGCGGAGCCCGGTCTCCGCCGTCGGCCCCGCCCCCGCGCCGGGCTCTCTCTGCGAGACCCCGCCCCCTTTCTGCAGCCGGGTGTCCCAGCGTCCTCGCGGAGCTGGGTCTCGCTGGTCCCCTGAGGCCTGGCAGGCTGCGGGTTGGGGAGCTTGCTGCGGCCCATTCGCTTGGGCTTTGAGCCCGGCAAACAGTAATTTCATCGTGCACCGAGGAGTGCTTTACATTGCCTTTAGGACCTTTAACGTGGCCACGGCATTACTATAAGGGTTTCTTCCACATAGTTAAGGCCCTTTTGTGTTCTCCACACGCAACTAACTTAACGAAAATAATAACTTCAGGGACTATATTCTATTCAGGTTCTATATATAATTTCCTCCAAAGTGCAGAGAATCCAACAGAACCATTTTCCCACTTCTTCGATTTACCCCTCCGGCTTGACGGCTCCCCCATAGGATCTGCTTTAGGAAAACTGATCTTTAGCAAGTTTGTGCTTCTGTGAGAAGAAAAAGCAAACCCATTACTCCTTCCATGCTCTTCAAATAGCACACGTTAGCAACCAAACTCGGGCCTCGAATAGCTTTTGCACATTCGATATTTTGCCAGATCTCAATTCTTAGTGAAAAACGGGTGTTATTTCCGAGTTCTTTTTTTTTTTTTTTTTTTTTTAATTGTGGTAAAATACACACAACATAAATTTACCATTTTAACCATGGTGGGGCGCCTGGGTGGCTCAGTGGGTTAAAGCCTCTGCCTTTGCCTCGGGTCCTGATCCCAGGCTCCTGGGATCCAGACCCGTATGGGGCTCTCTGCTTGGCGGGAGGCCTGTTTCTCCCTCTCTCTCTCTCTCTGCCTGCCTCTCTGCCTACTTGTGATCTCTGTCTGTCAAATAAATAAATAAAATGTTTTAAAAAAATTACCATTTTAACCACGGTCAAGTGTACAATTCCGTGTTCAGTGGTATTAAGTGCATTCACACTGTTGAGCAACCGTCCATCTCCGGGACTCTTTTCATCTTGCAACACTGAAACTCTCTACCCAGGAAATAACTCCGTTGTCCCTACTTTTAGCCATGGCAACCACCATTCTACTTTTCATCTGGGTGAATTTTACAACTGTAGGTAACTCATGTAAGTGGAAATCATACAGTATATGTTCCCTTGTGACTGCCTTATTTCCTTACTGTTTATCCATGTTGTGACATGTGTCGGAATTTCCTTCCTTTTTAAGGCTGAATAATATCCCACTACATATTATATAACCACATCTGTCACCTCTTGTCACTTGGATTGCTTTCACCTTCTGGTTACTGTGAATAATGCTGCTATGAACATGGGTGTTCCAATAACTATTGGAGACCTTGCTTTCAATTTTTTGTGGCATATACCCAGAAGCGAAACTGATGTATCATATGGTAATTCTATTTGTAATGTTTTTTGAACAACCCCCACATTGTTTTCTATAGTATCTGTAGACTTGTTTTTAAAATCTGGGTGTACATTATCCATACTCAATATGGACAATTTACTCAGACTGGTAGGATTCTATATTGCCTGTCTCTGAGGTCAGTCACCTCAATTAAGTACAGTACCATGGACTGTTTTGTCTCTAATGCGTGTATAAGCACATGTCCTCTGGCTATGGCTAATTCATAGGTTAATGTTCCAGTGACAGCAACTGCAAATATTTTTACCACAGCCTCAGTAAAACTTCGATCCCAAACTTTAAATTTTTGTATACTTCAAACAGTGTCTTCTCTGAGATTGTGGCCCAAATCCTCATAAACGCACATAGAAGGAAAGAATGTCTACATTCCTTTGGCTGTTAGCTAGGTCCACGGCCAAAACTTACCCTTTTTGCATTTTTAGCCTGAGCTGCCTTAGACAAGGTCCAAGTGAAACATATATTGTTAGTTTTGTTTTTCAAAATGGCAGCTCTTTATTGGCTTTTTTTAAAAAGATTTTATTTATTTATTTGAGAGAGAATGAGTGAGAGAGAGAGCATGAGAGAGGAGAAGGTCAGAGGGAACAGTGGACTCCCCAAGGAGCTGGGAGCCGGAAGCGGGACTCAATCCAGGAAGTCCGGGATCATGATCTGAGCCGAAAGCAGCCGCTCAATCAACTGAGCCACGCAGGCGCCCAGGGCTTTTTTTTTTTTTTTTTTTTTTTTTAAGATTTTATTTATTTTTTTGTTAGAGAGAGAGAGAGTGTGAACGCGCGAGCACAGGCAGACAGAGTGGTAGGCAGAGGGGGAGGAAGAAGCAAGATCCCTGCCAAGCAAGGAGCCCGATGTGGGACTCGATTCTAGGAAGCTGGGATCATGACCTGAGCCGAAGGCAGCCACTTAACCAACTGAGCCACCCAGGTGTCCCTTTTTATTGGCTTTTATACTTAAAATAATGCAGAAGCATTCAAAGCCTGTCCCAAATTCCAACTTCCTCTAATAATCATTTAACAATTTAATGTTCTCCTTGACTTTCAAATTACATTTAACAAGTATATTATGTATATTATTCAGGATCCTGCTTTTAACCCACACCAGCACTATGTATTGCTAAGTGCGTAACACACACGATGTATCTCTTGTTTATCCTTATTATTGCCAAGTATTCTGTCCATTTTAGATGGCCTCTCTCCACTCCCCAGATAGTAGTTGATTGTTTTTTGTGCTCCCTCAGTCACTGCAAACATTTCTGTTGTTGAGCCTATGGCATCCAATCTTAAATTATTTTTATTTCTATTTCCCTTACCAGAAAGTGAATTCTTCAGAAGCAAAAATTTGAGTTTAGAGCAATCTTCTTTTCCCTTTAATGTTTTTATTTTTATCAGTTATGCATGTTTGTGATTTAGAGTCAAATAGTTCTGTAGAAATCTTTTAATTTGCAATGAAAGAGCAAAGGCTGTACCCCCACCCACTCCTTACCAATTTTCCCCTCCTCAAAGACAGTCATGTCACTTTTTAATTTTTATTTATTTATTTAAAGACTTTATTTGTCAGAGAGAGAGAGAGAGAGAGACAGAGCACAAGCAGGGGGAGTGGCAGGCAGAAGAATCCGGAAATAGGCTCCCTGCCAAGCAGGGAGCCCAATGCAGAACTCAATCCCAAGACCCTTGGAACATGACCTAAGCCGAAGGCAGACACTGAAACTACTGGGCCATCCAGGCCTCCCTCATTTCACACTTTTAAAAAGACTTATTTATTTTAGAGGGGAAGGGGCAGAGGGAGAAGGAGAGAAGGAATCCCAAGCAGGATCCCCACTGAGCATGATGCCTGCTGTGGGGCTCAATCCCACAACCCTGAGGTCATGACCTGAGCCAAAATCACGAGTCAGGCACTTAACCAACTGAGCCACCCAGTGTCCTCATGTTGCCTCTTTCAACTGCTATTGTGATATTTACCTTCATTTCTCTATATAAAATGTTTGCATTACAAAAAATAAAAATAAAAAAAATTTGCATTGCTATTTCTCAATTTTTCACTTTCAAGCATTATCTATTGACTTCACTAAATGGAAGATGAGGTTTTAACTTTTCTTCCTTTACCCATCCCTCCCCCAAACCCACCACACTTTCAACTCTTTATCTACTCAATCTAGTTATACTGTCCTTTCTTCTCTCTCTCTCTCTTTTTTTTTTTTTAGGATTTTACTTAATTTAACTGACAGAATGTGGCACAGTGAGAGAGGGAACACAAGCAGGGGTAGTGGGAGAATAAGAAGCAGGCTTCCTGCTGATCAGGGAGCCTGACACAGGACTGGATCCCAGGACCCTGGGATCATAACCTGAGCTAAAGGCAGACGCTTAATGACTGAGCCACCCAGGTGCCCTATACTGTCCTTTTTAAAAAATATATACATATATATATATATTTAGATTTTATTTATTTATTGACAGAGATCACAAGTGGGCAGAGAGACAGGCAGAGAGAGAGGGGGAGGCAGGCTTCCGGCTGAGCAGAGAGCCTGATGTGGGGCTCAATCCCAGGACCCTGGGATCATGACCTGAGCTGAAGGCAGAGGCTTTAACCCACTGAGCTACCCAGGCCCCCCGAGCCCAAACTTTTTAATGATTGTTTCAATCTCCGCCTCCCAAGATTTAGATAGTTGAGGTGTTCTATCAGTTTAATCTGTCTGAAGGAGTCTCTCCTGGAGCCTTTTGGACCTGCACCAGTCCACGTCTGGTGATGGTTGGTGTCAGGGACTCTCAATTCATTTTTCTTCTGTATTGTATTTTCTGTTTCCTATATCCCATGTCTTCTTTTTTCTTTGTTTAGTCCCTCATTTTAGTAGAGCACAACCTCCAGAAGCATCCTGAGAAAGAAGAAGTAAATGTAAGGGAAAGGACAAAGAAATGAAAAATAAGAAAGAAAAAATGAGAAATTCGGGGACCATTCCAGGTAATCCAAATCTGAAAAATAAGAGTTCCGAAAGGAAAAACCAACAGCGGTTAGGGAAGTAATGGTCGTCAACAAAAAGTTCAAGAAAACGTCTCCAAACTAAAAACTATGAGTTTCCAGGTTAAAAGGACCCACTAAGTGCCCAGAGAGGTGGAGGTTTTTTCCTTGTTGAGAAGACACCCCCCCCCCCCAACCTTTCTCGGGAAAGCCTTGGGGCACAGTGCCCACTTTCTGAGCGGCCGAGCCGACCTCCTGCCAGCAGGGGGAGCTATGGCGCACGGCTAGCGACTGCGCGGGCAGGGCCTCTCTGGGAAGAGAGGAAGAAACCAGAGAGACGGAGGGGAAGTAGCGGTGGCGTCCAGCCCCACAGACTTGCAACCTGAGCGAGTGTGTGGCCGCTGGCCGGCCCCGAACGCTACAAGCCACGCTGGCTGCGCGTGGAGCTGAGGACTCGTGCGGAGGCGGGATGCTCCCAGGCGGCGAGATCCGCGAGTCGCCGGCGGCTCCGGTGAGGCGGCCTTGGTGATCTGGACAAGGGACACCGGTGACCCAGTGAGGTGGCACAGATCTCCCAAGGAATATTGTGTCTCTAAGGTGGCCCTGGCAGCCTGGCGACGTGGTTTCCGTGGCCCGGGGGAGATAGCGCTTGCAATCTAGTGAGGTGCCACGGACCTCCCAGGGGAGCTGGCCCCGAGGCGGTGGCTCTGGCCATCCCAGTGAGATGACACAGATCTCTCTAGGGACGTGGCGCTGGAAGCTGGGCGCGGTAATGCCCAGCCGTCCTGGGGTGGTGGCAGTGGTGGTCCCAAGGGCCACCTGCATCAGATGGCCCTGACCCCTCAGGAAGGCCCCAGGGGAGGGGGTCTGGGACCTCGTAGTGCTCCAGTGGATGCTCTCTGGGAATCCTGTGTGAGTTCCACCTAGCTCTTCAGTCTTAATGTGTTCGTTACACCTGTTCTTCTAGTGCTCCTCTGAAAGTGGTGACGAAAGGAAGGACGTCGAAGAGAAAAGTAAGCGGACTTTAAACACCTAAGCATACTGTACCCAGCCATCTCTCCAAAACTCAGCCCTCCTGGGTCTGCAGCGAACCGCCTTGCTTAGCCTGTTATCTTTTAGACGAATCTCTCTTTTTTGTACAATATGCTTGCATAGTATTCAGTATTGGTTATCATTATATACTTATCTTTCTTTCTAAAATTGTAAAATATGGGATGATTTGGAGATAAACATTTCCTAATCCCTACTTAGTGCAGGGTCTGGTGTGGATTTACTGCAGTGCTGCCCCTCATACTGGATTCAGAATAATTAGGGCCCACCTGTTATTTTAATGAAGCATCGACTTATCAAGTATCAGGAATTTGGAGGGGCTAATGATCTAGGAGAGATGACCTCCGCTTTAATTGGAGTCAAAATGGTAATTGCTTAGTTGTACTCTACCTTCGGTGAATTTTCCTTTAAAAGTTGAGGTGGGAGGAAGAGGACAAGTGATAACTTGTTTCCTGGGTCTTGGTCTGGACAAGGAAGAGGGAAAAGGTCAGCACCTCCATTTTCCATCTAGGACAGGAGCATATGTCAAGGACATGGACATTAGTCATTTTTACTTTAATGAGCTAAGCATGGCAGGCTTTTGGAAATCAAGGAGTCTTCAAGGGCATTTGAAGTGAAATTTATTAGGGGAGAAAGGGAAGAGCATGTAACAGCTGTTTCATCAGAGGGTTTTGGTTCTTCTGACCATGGCAAATAGTCTAGGAATGAACAGTGATACTAGGAAGGGTATCCACATTACCACAATTGCTTCGGGAGTTAGGCTTGCCCTTGACATTGCCCGCTGATCTAGTTTGCCTCAGAAGGAAAGCTCTAAGTAGTCCACAGCCCTTGACAGGCATAGCTCCCACAGCTTCGCTCCCTTGTAAAAGGATTGGAGAGTACCCCAGTCTTTCAGTTAAACCCTTCCCTTTTCCACCTTTGCCCATTCAGATGCCTGGAAGTTGATGCCTACTGAGCTCTCATTTAGTAGAATGAAAGACACAGACTATAGACTTTGTCCTTGTCCCTCCTTTGGTGGCTTGGTCAACTTCTTTGCAATTAGGAGTGCTCATTACAAAAAACGAGAAGAGAGTCATAAAAGCCTCGCAAATCATCAGTGTGTCATCTTCATGAATATCATTTGGGGAACCTGGGTGGCTCGGTTGGCTAAGCCTCCCTGCTCAGTGGGCAGTCTGCCTCTGCCTCTCTTACTGCCCCTTCTCAACCCCTGCCCCCGGCCTCATGCTCTCTCTCTCTCTCAAATAAATGAATCTTTAAAAAAAATATGTCATTTGACTAAGAATGTATTATGCTGCATTTAAATGGTGATGTCAAAGGAATATCACTTAAAGGAGTACCTGGCTGGCTCAGCCGGTTAAGCGTCTGCCTTCAGCTCAGGTCATGATCCAGGGGTCCTGGGATGGAGCCCCTCTTTAGGCTCTCTGCTCAGTAGGGGTCTGCTTCTTCCTGTGCCCTTTTTCCCCTGCTCATGCTTGAACTTGTTCACTCTCTCTCTTTCTCTCTGAGATAATTCATTAAAATCTTTGAAGAAAGAAAATCTTTAAATCTTGTTTATTTAGGATAAAAAAAGAGGACACCATGACTCCTGTACATAATGGTAGATGGGTTTCTGTATTAATAAAATTTGATGGAGGCCAGCCAATTCTGCTCATATTTGAAGGAAAAAAAAAAAAGAAAATTGGGTTGAGAGTCAGGAAACATGGACTTTAATCCTGTTTAAAACCTTTAAGTATAAGCCGGGCAAATGTTACCATTTATAGTTGGGAAGTTGAGGCTCAGATTTACGATAGTTTTGCTTCTTCTTACTAGTGGGCTGCTGGTTCTCATAGGACAGAAACAAGCTTTTAATTCTTATAAGTTCAATAGAACAAAGGAAAATTTGGTTTTGGAGGGCTGGGGAACATTCCCAGTCCTAAACACATTGGTATATATTCTGTTAATCTTTTTTTAAAAGATTTTATTTATTTGAGAGAGAGAGAAAGAGACAGAGCACGAGGGGGAAGGGTCAGGGGGAGAAGCAGACGCCCCGCTGAGTAGGTAGCCTGGTGTGGGGCTCGATTCCAGGACCCCGAGATCATGACCTGAGCCAAAGGCAGACGCTTCATTGACTGAGCCACCCAGACGCCTCTGTTCTGTTAATCTTTACATAAATAATTGAATATCTGACAGTTACATTTTGCATTTAGGCAAATCTTTTTTTTAGATATTCATATTTTCATTTTATCAGAAGTAACAGTTGTTTTGTAATGAGGCTGATTATAACCTCTTGCCTTTCCCTCATTGCTGCTTTCTTAAAACTTCAGTTTTGGTAAAGAGCCAAGTTCTACAAGGGCAGCTCCAGGGAGAACAGAGGCAAAGTTCAACCAGTATTGCTCCCCAGGAGGCTCTGTATTGTTCCCCCAGCTTTATCTCTCATGTACACACACTGTTTTTTTCATTTTTAGAAATTGCTGCAGTCTCTAATTAAACATATGCTAGTATAATTAAGCTTTTAATTTGTTTATAAACTCATTGTGAATGGTTTGTTTAGAGAGGACCAAATCCTTTAGTTAAAACTGAAGTAGAGAAATGCACTGTATGTTCAGGTTTATTTTAAGGTTTGGTTTCTAGGAAGTCTGCTTTTTGTCTGGGACCTTATTTTATAGCACTTATTTTCATCTGGAGACCAATGGCTATTCCTCTTACATTATCTTTTTTTTTTTTTAAAGATTTTACTTATTTGAGGGCACTGGGGTGGTTCAGTGGGTTAAGCCTCTGCCTTCAGCTTGGGTCATGATCTCAGGGTCTTGGGATCGAGCCCCTCATCGGGCTCTCTGCTCAGCAGGGAGCCTGCTTCCCCCTCTATCTCTGCCTGCCTCTCTGCCTACTTGAGATCTCTCTCTCTGTCAAATAAAAAAAAAAAAAGAAATCTTTAAGACTTTATTTATTTGAGAGAGAGAGAAGAGCACAAGCAGGTGGGGGGTAATTACAGAGGGGATGGGAGAGAGACAAGCCAACTCCCTGTTGAGTGTGGAGCCTGATGTGGGGTTTGATCTCACATCCCCCAAGATCACCACCAGAGCTGAAACCAAGAGTCAGACACTTAACTGCCTGTGCCACCCAAGCTTCCCCCACCACCTTTTTAAAAAATCTGTAGGTCCTGGGGCGCCTGGGTGGCTCAGTCTGTTAAAGCCTCTGCCTTCGGCTCGGGTCATAATCCCAGAGTCCTGGGATCGAGCCCGGCATCGGGCTCTCTGCTTGGCGGGGAGCCTGCTTCTCCGTCTCTCTCTGCCTGCCTCTCTGCCTACTTGTGATCTCTGTCTGTCAAGTAAATAAATATAAAATCTTTAAAAAAAAAAATCTGGGACGCCTGGGTGGCTCAGTTGGTTAAGCGGCTGCCTTCGGCTCAGGTCATGATCCCAAAGTCCTGGGATCGAGTCCCACATCGGGCTCCTTGCTCAGCGGGGAGCCTGCTTCTCGCTCTGCCTCTGCCTGCCACTCTATCTGCCTGTGCTCACTCTCACTCTCTCTCTCTCTCTCTCTGACAAAAAAATAAATAAAAAATCTTAAAAAAAAAAAATCTGTAGGTCCTACTAAATCTAGGGGGTTTAAGCTCTGTCTGTGGAATAATTCAAAATGTGGAAAAGCAGCCACCACTGTACCAAGTTTCCTAACCTCCAGGAAGAAGGGTACCCTAAGTAAGCAAAGAGGGACAACCTGCACATGCAACAGATACCTCAGAAGAAACAGTGTATCTAACACACAGGGCTCAAGTGGAAAGAGACTTGGTAGGAACTACAGATCACATCACTCCTATCTTCCTTGCCAACACCCCACTTCAGATTTCTGTGGGGTGTAGCCACGTCCAGCCAGGCACAGATGGTCAGTGAAGGTAGAGCTGGAGAAGCTCTGCAAAAAAGGAGCAGTGCTGTTGGTCCACAAATTTTGGACAGTGGAAGAGGATTTAATTTCCTATGAAGTGGATTAAGTGTTTACTAGAAATCTGTTTCTTTGACTAAAAAATGGGGAATGTAGCTTCAACGACTTAATTATTTCTGAAACATTGTGGATAGTGGAAGAAGGTATAGATGCCTGCAGAGTGAAAAACTGACTTGGAACTGACAGGAAACAATTGGCGTTCAATCGCAGAGGAATGGGCTTTTTGGGAAATCCCACCTGCTAAATGGGGTGAGAGCAAAGCTACACAGTATTCCTGTTTTCACTGGGCATTGTTCACTCCGTCACAGGCCGTGCTGCCTCTGCCACTACTCCTCCATAGAAATGGCTCAGGGTTCCAAGTCATCTGTTTTCATCATATTTAATAAGCGTATATAAACTTGAATGACCCAGTTCAAGTCCAGTTTATTTGCCGTGGAAGGAGTCTCACTTCAGACTGTACAAGTTAGTGGTTGCACGTGTCATTTTGCATTTTTCTTAGTAATTTGTGTTTTCTTTCACAGTTCTTTTATTCCTTTTCCGACATGGGCATCTTACTTTGTACAATGGCATTTGAAGAAATGGCATTGAAAAAAATTAAAAATTTTTTAAAATTTAAATTAAAAAAAAATTATTAGGGGTGCCTGGGTGGCTCAGTGGGTTAAAGCCTCTGCCTTCAGCTCAGGTCATGATCCCAGGATCCTGGGATCAAGCCCCGCATCGGGCTCTCTGCTCAGCAGGGAGCCTGCTTCCTCCTCTCTCTCTCTCTGCCTGCCTCTCTGCCTACTTGTGGTCTGTCAAATAAATAAATAAAATCTTTAAAAATAAAAAATTATTATTTTTTTTTTTACTTTTTAAAAAAAGAGGGGTGCCTGGGTGGCTCAGTGGGTTCAAGCCTCTGCCTTCAGCTCAGGTCATGATCTCAGGGTCCTGGGATCGAGCCCCATATCAGGCTCTCTGCTCAGCAGGGGGCCTGCTTCCTCCTCTCTCTCTGCCTGCTTCTCTGCCTACTTGTGATCCCTGTCTGTCAAATAAATAAATAAATAAATAAATCTTTAACATAAAAAAAGATTTATCTGTTTATGAGAGAGGGAGAGTGTGTGTGTGTGTGTGTGTGTGAGTGTACATGAGTGGGGGAGAGGCAAAGGGAGAGGGAGAGAGAGAATCTCATGCAGTCTCCTCACTGAGCATGGAGCCTGATGTGGGGCTCAATCTCATGACCCTGAGATCATGACCTGAGATGAAACCAAGAGTTGGATGCTTAACCGACTGAGCAATCCAGGTGCACCTAAAACTTTTTTACTCTTACATAAGAAGGAGTTTTTACTCATTGGTCAGCCTTTCAAATTTTTTTTTTCATATACTTGAAATCTTTGAATACTTTTTCCTTTTTTTATCATTTTAAAATCAGAGTCTAGATCACATTATCTGTTTCCTTACAAATTTTGAAAATATATTACTGTAATAAAAACCGTATCCATAAAATAGTATTTGACCTTTTTTTCCTCTAGTAATAAAATAGATTCGTAAGATAAAAGTCTTCTGGAAAAGTTTAATATTTGCTTATAACTGCATTATCATGCCAACATCAGTTGAAACCCATGGTTACTAGGACAGACCTCAGGATTTTTCCTTCCTCTGAATTTCCTCAGCTCCTAAGCATTTTGTAGTACTTGATTGATAGATTGCTTTATAGCTATTCATTTGGATATCTGTGTGTGTGTGTGTAAAAAATCCAAAAAATCCACATATATGCAAATACATCTATACGTATTATATATATTAATTTTGGTATTTTATATGTGTGTATATGGTGTATGTATATATACATGAACATATATATGCATACCATATATAGTGTTTTTTTTAAATTACTGACTTTTGAAAGTAGATATATTGCTTTGTATATCTTTTGTATTTCCTTTAACTCCATGGTACTTAGTAATGTTGAATAATATTCTTTTGTTTTAGGTGATGTGCATATTACAGCTCTTGTTGGAAATAAACAAGTCAATGAAGATACAGATAATGGTGATCTCCCTTCTTACGTGTCTGCATTTATAGAAAAGGAAGTTGGAAGTGACCTTAGATCTTTAAAGAAACTTGATAAACTCGTAGAACAAATGACAGAAAATAAAATGCAGTTAGAGGAACAGGCAAGTATTAAAACTCATTGAAATACTATCAGAAGTATACACATACTATAATATAAACATAACCGGTATTATATAGGGAATTTTGAAGATATAGTTTATGACTAATAGTCTAATCATTTAAAACTGTTTAATAGGTTTTAAGACTTACAGTGTGCTAGGTATTTTATGAATTATGTAAAAGACAAAGATCCTGGGGCCACCTGGCTGGCCCAGTCAGTGGAATGTACAATTCTTGATCTCGGAGTTGTGGGTTTGAGCCCCGTGTTGGATGGAGAGATTACCTAAAAATAAAATCTTAAAAAAAAAAAAAAGACAAAGTTCCTGCTGATATTATTTGGGTCTTAAAAATATAATGACAACTGGGGCGCCTGGGTGGCTCAGTTGTTAAGCGCCTGCCTTTGGCTGGGGTTGTGATCCCAGGGTCCTGGGTTTGAGCCTTGCATCGGGCTCTCTGCTCGGTGGGAAGCCTGCTTCTCCTTCTCCCACTCCTCCTGCTTGTGTTTCTTCTCTCATTGTGTCTTTCTCTGTCAAAAATACAACGACAGCTAATGTTTTAAGTAGCTTTTCATACAGTGACCTTATTTTTATTTATTTATTTATTTTTTTAAGATTTATTTATTTGACAGAGATCACAAGTAGGCAGAGAGGCAGGCAGAGAGAGAAGGGGGGAAGCAGGTTCCCTGCCAAGCAGAGAGCCTGATTCGGGGCTCCATCCCAGGACCCTGGGATCATGACCTGAGCTGAAGACAGAAGCTTTAACCCACTGAGCCACCCAGGCGCTCCTGACCTTTTTTTTTTTTTTTAAATACTTTATTTATTTATTTGGCAGACAGAGATCACAAGTAGGCAGAGAGGCAGGCAGAGAGAGAGGTGGAGGTAGGCTCCCTGCGGAGCAGCGAGCCCAATGTGGGGCTCGATCCCAGGACCCCAAGGTCATCACCTGAGCTGAAGGCAGAGGCCTAACCCACTGAGCCACCCAGGCGCCCCCATACAGTGACTTTTAAAGTGCTTTTACAACTAAGTCATTTCATGGTATATAAAAATGTTATAACATCATCATTCCAAACTTTGTATATGCCCACTCATAAGGAAAAAACATGAAAATGAGTATAACATAATAGTGGTTATTTCTGGGTGGTGCATCAACAGGTGATTTATTTTCTTCAGATCTTTGTGTGTTTTCAGTGTTTTCTTTTTACAGTGAACATATTACTTAAAATAGTTTTTAAAACACCCAATGAATGTAATCTTAAAACAAGTGGAGCCCTGTACTTGCAACAGTGTTTGTCAAGGATAAAAGCTTTATATCCTGTAGCTAATATGTTGGGCTAAGGAAACTGTGTGTGGCTATGTTGGTGTTAGCCCTGGGTTGTCAGTCATCCTGTGTTCCCATCCCCAGCACCTCCGGCCTCCCGTCTTCCTGTCTTTCCCCCATGTCTACCTCCAGTCTGCCCCGTCTTCCTCTTCCACTCCCGCAGGCAGGCTGTGCTGGGCTCTCTGAGGAATCCCACCGAGGAGTGCGAGGAGGCTGGCCTGGATGAGTGGTCTCCAGCCCCACCCGGCAGTGCTTCCACGGCTCCTTCCCTGGGAAGGTCGGCTCCTCTGCTCCTCCCCGCAGCTGTTCTTGAGAATTCTGCCGCAAGATACTACCCCATCTGGCCATTCTGTCTTTGCCCTTTCCCAAAAGAAGAAATTGAGAGCGCTTAGCGTGAATCTATTGGAATAGTCTACACCACAGCCCACAAACTTATCTGCAATCATTTCTACTTGGTAATTCAGCAGAGGATCGATCTGAGGCAGTCCTCATGCCTCATGTCCCACCTGCCACCTGAGTAAACTTGCTTCACACTTTTGTAGTGAGAACTTCTGCTCCTCAGCCAGTGCTGTCCCCTCAGCACAGGAATACACCCAGATGTTGGCTTAAAACCCAAACGAAAAACCCTCCCCTCATCTTTTACTAGGTGTTCATTCCTTTTACTGTTAGACTTCCTCAGAAAGTCATCTTTCTTTATGTCTATCTCCACTTCCCAGTTAGGCTCGTTTCCCCGATGACTGCGGAAGCTTCTGCCGAAGTCCCTACTGAACCTTAAATTCAGCATGTCTGTCTCTAAAGATGCTTCCCCTCCTTGGAAAATGGTACCACCATCTGCCTGTCACTCGCACCTGAAACTAGGAGCCTTCCTGGGTTGCCCATCATCCTGCCTCCACCTCCCCATCACCGAGACATCAGAGTTTCACCCCCCCTTCACGTCTCTGGTGTCTTTTCACCCCAGTTTAGGCTGCAGCCTCTCCTGCACTTGATGGCGGTTTGCACATCATCTGTTTCCTTCCCATCCCCATGCTAGCTATCTTTCATTTGTATTCTTTACAGAAACTGTGTGATGTGTAAATAAGCAAATATATATATATATATATATATAATATAGTCAACAGCTTTTTTGTATATATGAGCATATGCATACTTCAAATATGTATCACTTAACTTTTTGTAATTAATGTAATTAATTTTTGTAATGTAATTAATTTTTCATATCAGTGTATATAGTGCTCTCTTTTTTAATGGTTTTATGGTATTCAGCTATGGCTGTGCATAATTTCTTTGGCCAGGCCCTTGTTGGTTGACATTTTTGATGTTTCCAGTTTTTATTATGGCAAATAATAGGAGAATAAACATAATATTTTGTCAGTTTATTTTCTAAATCATAAATCTAACTGAACGATTTCCTTGTTCAAATCTCTTGGGACACCTGGGTGGCACAGTTGGTTAAGCATTCGACTCTTGATGTCAGCTCAGGTTTTGATCTCAAGATCATGAGTTCAAACCCCACGTTGGGTTCCATGCAGACATGGAGTCTACTTAAAAGAAAAAAAGAAAGAAAAGAAACTCTTACTGGCTTCCCATTGTCTGTTGGGAAAAGCCCACATTCTTCTAAGGCACAAGATGCCCTTGTGATCGTATCTCTCCCTACCAATCTAGACTCATCTCTTCTTCCTACGTTTTTGTTTTGTTTTTTTGAACTGTATTCTGTGCCTTACTCAGCTCTTTGGTGTTCTCTGATCATGACCGAGCCGTTCCTTTTCCTGGAATGCCCTTCCAAAGCTCCCCAGAAAATTCCCGCCCATCCTGTGAAGGTTTGTGCAGGAGCTGGGCAGCCACCTCAAAATCTTGTTGGCTAAAGTGTGAGAGCTTGTTAGACACGTGGAATCTCAGTCCCTACTCTAGACCTAATAAGTTCACGTTGGCATTATACCAGATCTCTAGGGGATTCCTGTGCACATTCCAGTGTGAGAAGCACTATCTTAGTCACCATTACACCTCGCATCTCTCTTTCACTGCATTCATCCCATAATACAGGACGTATTTGCTTACATTTCTCTTCCACACGAGCTGAGCTTTAGGACAGAGGCTGTCTTGTTTATCTGTTCCTAGCACAGGGCCTTGTGCAAAGTGTCTAATCAGTGTTGAATAAATTGTAATTCCCCTATAATAGTCTTTGTACTGTATTGATACCTAATGTTTGTATATGTTTTTCCATGTGCTGTAAGAAGAATGAGTAAATACCATATCTCAAGGCATTATCTGGTTATCATCTTACCAGGTCACTGGTTCTCAACCTGGACTTAAATCAGAATCACCTGGGTAACTTTAGGGACATAGAGATACTCAGACTTTTAGAATCAGAGCTTCATTTGTTTTTGAATGGAAGTATTTAGTAGATAAAGCATAAAAGTATTCTCTGGCTGGACCTTCTGAAAGTGCTGAGCTACATGAGGGCAGATCCAAAGGTGTTTACTGGGACGACAGGCCGCTCCCCACACATCTCCACGTACAGCATTTCGTGTTTCGGTTTGGTGGGTACAGGATGCAGAAATCACACCTCTCTTTTGAAGCTTGTAATTGACAATTTTCAATTCTGTTAGAACAAACGTGTATTTTGAAGGTAATAGTCTAAAGAAAAGGGTTATGAAAATTTTATCTGATTGCTGCTGTTTTTGTTTTTTGTATGGTCAGGTACTTACGATTTCATCAGAAATCCCTAAAAGAATTCAGAGTGCCTTAAAAAATGCAGAAGAATCAAAGCAATTCCTTAATCAGTTTCTGGAGCAAGAAACTCATCTCTTCAGTTCCATTAACAGCCATTTGCTGACCGCACAGCCCTGGATGGAAGATCTTGGGGCCATGATCAGCCAAATTGAAGAGATTGAGCGCCATCTTGCTTACCTTAAATGGATTTCACAAATTGAAGAACTAAGGTAAAAAGGGCCTCTTTGTTCTCATAATTATTATTTTCCTTTGAGACTCTGTCTTAGTGAGTGCATGTATGCCATTAAATAATTGAGTTAATTAAGGATTATAATAATATAATTTTACCAGTTGTTATGAAAATAGCATTATGATAATGATTCTTTTCCTTTATTGTGAATGAACATAAAGTTTTCAGGGAGCTTAATTTGCATTTGAAAGAAAGTAATCTAAGTAAAAATTGTAAGTCCTATACTTGTGTTGTGAACACATAATAAAAACTGTTATTTATAAAACCAAATTAATACAACAACTCTTCAACGTGGTAATATTCTCTACTTTTACTTTTTAGACATGGTCACTTGAAGTGGATTGCTTTCTCTAAAATTTGAATTGTTTTCAATGAGAATCATTTTTTTAAGAGACATTTACTTATTTGAGAGAGAACATGAGAGAGAGAGGGAGAGAGAGAGAGAGAGAGAGAGAGACAGCACTAGTGCACAGCAGGGGGAGAGGGAGAAGGAGACTCTCCATTGAGCAGGGTGCCCCATGTGGGGCTCCATTCGAGGAAACGCCCCACCCCGGGGGTCATGACCTGAGCTGAAGCCACCCAGGTGCCCCCAATGGAAATCATCTAACAAGAGCTACACAGTATTCTTAGATGAGTAACAGAGTTTTGCTACCTATGGGTAGGGGGAAAAGTACATACTTTTTTCTGAATCGAATGTGTGTTACTGGTGTTGACTGTGTCTGATATTGCCTTTCAGGCAAGCTAAATGAACATTTCTGCCTAGATTGGCACATTATTTGGTTTCATGATATAGTCCCCCAGCCCCTCCAAACTGCGTGGTTCCATCCTGCTTGGTTTCAACTACTCTTGCTCCAAAGCTGTCAGCAACCATTCATGTTGTCTGGAAGACTTAAGGAGGAAAGGTCATCCAAGAGTCTTAATGTCCCATTGTAAATTCATCACAGTTAGTATATTTTATGTTATGTCTTCCAAAGAGTAATGCAGTATCACTTTGTCCTGCATTTTTCTTGAGATTTTAAAGAGTTTTACCTGTCAGTGTGGTGTGAAAATCTTTGAGTTGCATCTGAGTTTTACATTTACAGCAAGAGTGATATGCCCAAGGTTGTAGTGTTATCAGTGATTCCAGATATCAGCTTAAGCTTTTAGACCATCTCATTGTTTAGATAAATTACTTGCAATGAACGAATTTTAAACCTTCCTTCTTTTTACTTCACTGCCCCTTGCCCCTCTGAAAGATAATACCAATAAGGGACAATATTAATAACCTTATTAAGTAGAATAAATTGTTTAAAAGCCTCACTCTTGTAGTAGCCAAGGTAATAGGTTAATTAAAATAGGACTATGGTTGTAGATAGCTTTTATCTATGTTGGAATTGTTTAAAAAAGATATTTGGGGGTGCCTGGGTGGCTCAGTGGGTTAAGCCTCTGCCTTCAGCTCAGGTCATGATCTCAGGGTCCTGGGATGGAGCCCTGCATCGGGCTCTCTGCTCAGCGGGGAGCCTGCTTCCCCCTCTCTCTCTGCCTGCCTCTCTGCCTACTTGTGATCTCTGTCTGTCAAATAAATAAATAAAATCTTAAAAAAAAAAAAGAAATAGGAATCAAATTCATAATCAAGTAAAGCGCAGCTATTTCTCTCTTTAATAACATGCAAGATCTTTCCTTTAGGTCTTCAAGATAAATCTCTATTTCTGGCTTCCTTAGGGCTTCTGAGATTTTCTTCATCTCTTAAGTTCTAATGTTAACCTGCTTTTCATTAGCACTCTCTTTTTTAAAAGAGCCGTGTCGGGCACCTGGATGGCTCAGTTGGTTAAGCGGCTGCCTTCAGCTTGGGTCATGATGATCCCAGGGTCCTGGGACCGAGCCCCATGTCGGGCTTCCTACTCGGTGTGGAGCCTACTTCTCCCTCTCCCGCTCCCCTTGCTTGTGCTCTCTCTCTCTGTGTCAAATAAATAAATATTTTAACATCTTAATTAATTAATTAATTGAAAAGCAGGGTTCTGGGGCAGCTGTGTGGCTCAGTCGGTTGAGCATCTGATTTTTTATTTCTTTTTAGGTCCTGAGACTGCGCCCCCTGTCAGGCTCCGTGCTCAGTGGGGAGTCTCCTTGCGATTCTCTCTCCCTCAGTGACTGCCCCTTCCAACTGCTCTCTTGCACTCTCTCTCTCTCAAATAAATAAAGCTTAAAAAAAATTTTTTTTTAAATTAAAAAGTTTTTTGTTCCTTTTTCTTAGATAGTTTAAGCTATGGAATATGTTATTATTATTTTTTTAAATTGCTGTGGGTTTTTGTTTTGCGAGTGAGTGCAAGCTCACTCTGGGATCATTACCTGAGCCGATGGCAGAGGCTTTAGCCCACTGAGCCACCCAGGCACCTCATTTTTTTTAAGATTTTTATTTATTGGGGCGCCTGGGTGGCTCAGTGGTTTAAGCCTCTGCATTCAGCTCAGGTCGTGATCTCAGGGTCCTGGGATCGAGCCCTGCGTCGGGCTCTCTGCTCAGTGGGGAGCCTGCTTCCCCCCTCTCTCTGCCTGCCTCTCTGCCTACTTGTGATCTCTGTCAAATAAATAAAATCTTTAAAAAAAAAAAAAGAGAGATTTTTATTTATTTATTTGACAGAGAGAAAGCACAAGCAGGAAAAATAGCAGGCAGAGGGAGAGGAAGAAGCAGGCTGCCCGCTGAGCAAGGAGCCTGATGCAGGACTTGATTCCAGGGCCCTGAGCTGCGGGCAGAAGCTTAACTGACTGAGCCCCACAGGAACCCAAGAGTTGGGTGCTTAACTGATGGAGCCATGTAGGTGCCCCTAGAATATGTATTTTTATCAAAAGAAATATCTCATTTTAATTTTCCTAATTTTTTTTGAAGTATAGTTGACACGCAACATCTAATTTTTAAACAAAGTGTTTGCTTTATAAAGGCAAATGAGCAAAATGGTAGTTCATGGGATCTGTTTGGCTGGTTTCAAAGAATTTGATTAATTGGCTTTACATGGAAATCTTGACTTCTGGCTTACCTAGAACAATTTTAAGCTTTGGCCACATTGGTAAAAAAGCCACTTCTAGCTGGTGCTTCCTTTTTCCTTGTATGTAACTTGATATGCAACAGGAAGGAGAAGCAGTTTTTCTGCATTTGGAATTCTCTTGAACAAACCATCTTTGAAGTTTGCTTTGCCTCATTTTGCAGCGATAACATTCAGCAGTATCTGATGACCAATAACGTCCCAGAGGCAGCCTCTATTCTGGCATACATGGCAGAACTTGACATCAAGCTTCAGGAATCATCTTGTACTCATCTTCTCACGTTCATGAGAGCCACTGTTAAATTCTGGCATAAGATTCTCAAGGACAAGCTTACAAGGTAAGGAATGATACTGCATGCTAATTGCTTTCAGAAGGATATTTCATGACTTGTATTTTAACTGAAACATGTGTGTTACTTTTCTGTTACAGTGATTTTGAGGAAATTTTGGCCCAACTTCATTGGCCCTTCATCACACCCCCCCAGTCTCAAGCTGCTGGCTTGAGTCGACCAGCCAGTGCCCCTGACATCTACACTAACCTGGAGACGCTGTTTTGTCAGCTTCTGAAACTACAAACCTCGTATCTTTGTTGGAGTTCAAACTTACTAAAATGGCTTTTTTTTAAAGAGTGGATTCGTGGCTGGAGAGTAAAACTGAAAGTGGCCAAGAAGTCAAGTGGGGGTACTGGGTTTGGTCTTATCTTTATATTTATATACTCATGGGGTGTATAGATTATTAAGATATAGATTATTAAATAAAGATTACTCTCCTTTCGAGTGAATTACATGTGGGGCAGGGGAGGGTCAGGCTGAAATACGACCGACCCAAGTTTACATCACACGTAGGTCTCTTGGGAGAAAAAATAAAGCAATTGGGAGGAGATCTTAGTAACTTTGTGTCAATTTAATAAAGTGATTACTTTGTTGTTGTTGTTGTTGTTGTTAAAGATTTATTTATTTATTTGAGAGAGAGAGAGAAACAGCATGAGATTGGAGAGGGTCAGAGGGAGAAGCAGGCTCCCTGCTGAGCTGGAAGCCTGGTGTGGGACTTGGTCCCAGGACTCCGGGATCATGACCTGAGCCGAGGCAGTCACTTAACCAACTGAGCCACCCAGGAGCCCCAATAAAGCAATTACTTGAATGTGTTTAGTTCCTTACTACTATTTTTTATTTGAGGAAAGATAGATTAATTTTAAGAACTTTTTGTGCACTTTTTATTGAAATCATATGTAACGTAAAATTTTCTGTATTATAATTAATTTTACCTAGTATCATATATTTGTTGGGAAAATATATCACATGTATGTATACACACACATATATGTATTTTTTCCCTTGACTCGACTATGTCAGAGATGAATTACTTACTGAGCCAAAACAACTTCCAGAGAAATACTGTCTTCCTGCCTCCCCGGCTATCATTCTGCCCATCCAGGTCATGCTGACGCCCCTCCAGAAGAGGTTCAGGTATCACTTCAGAGGGAACCGACAGACTAATGTTATAAGCAAGGTATGTTTTCTCAACTCTTGTCCTTGGTTTTTATTAATAGCAAATGCGAAGTGTTCTGTACTTTTCTGGTTTAAGTTAAAATCTGATTCCATTCACATTTCTTTTTTTTCTCTAAAGAGTTAAATTCCTATTTTGTCACTGTCCTTAATAGATCTATTTCTGGGGCGCGTGGGTGGCTCAGTGGGTTAATCCTCTGCCTTCGGCTCAGGTCATGGTCTCAGGGTCCTGGAATCAAGCCCTGCATCGGGCTCTCTGCTCAGCGGGGAGCCTGCTTCCCTGTCTCTCTCTCTGCCTGCCTCTCTGCCTACTTTTGATTTCTCTCTCTATCAAATAAATAAAAAGGAAAAAAATTTTGCATTAAAAAAAATTGATCTATTTCCGGACTTTTCTTGAGAGGTTGTCGAAATCCACTCACTTATTAGCATGTCATGCCCTTACAACCACAAATCATTTTAGCATCAATGATCTATTCAAAAGCTAATACTCGGCTATCTTGCCTTCCACTTCTTTCTGATATATTTATAAACCTGAAGGAGCAATTTGCACAGTGAAGCATGTGGGGCCAGGTGTAAACAGTGCCCCACAAATGCCACGGCAGTTTTTTCCTAGTTCTTTTTTTATCCCCTTGGTTCTTAAATTCGGCTTCTTTTGTGTTTATGGGGCTCCTCCTTTTTTGGATGGGGTGTTGGTGGAAAGAAGAGTAGAATCAATTAGTAAGTGGTAAGTGAGACAAAGCAATAAACCTAAAGCTCTAGAGAAGCAGTGAGAAAGATAAGAAAATTGTGTTATGTTGACTCCTTCCTAAAGTGCTTTCACCATCATCAAGCCTAAACTGTGCAGTCCCTGAGATTACAGGTGCTTGTTACTCATGTTTGTATTTCCAGCACCTAGCACACAACAGTGATTTACCACCCAGCAAATGTTTTTGAATACTAGCCCAACAAAACTTGGAAGGTTTGTAGAATTGGCTCTAGGACAATTTCAAAAGCTGCTACTTAAACATTATTTTTCTCTGATTATACCTGTTTTAAGGCACATGTTGTTTTGTTTTGTTAATTTACCTTTTTAAAAGAGCAGAAGAAAATCCAGTTTAAAAGTTATTTTGGAATGCTATGGCCAAAAACAACAACAAAAAAAATTTAAAGGCTGTCAGATCTTTGTAATACTCATTTTGTGTATTTCCAGAGAAATACACAAAAACAACTTATTTTGTTTATTTTATTTTATTTAAAAAATATTTATTTATTTATGGGGGGGCAGGTTCCCCACTGAGCAGGGAGCCTGATGTGGGACTTGATTCCAGGACCCTGGGATCACGACATGAGCCGAAGGCAGACGCTTAGCCCACTGAGCCACCCAGGTGTCCCCAAAGTGCCACATTTTCAATATACCTGGTACTGTAACTTTGTAAGTTTATTGACTTCTGCCACATTTTGGGAATTTGCTGGGAATACATTGGGATACATTTGATTATTAAGCCTTGCATGACCTTAAAGTTCAGAGTAGAAATTGCGTTCTTACGTTTAGGAATTTTCAACTAATTTTTGTTAAGTACCGCTTGTAATTAAATAGAGCCCTTTAATTGTAACTCTCTACTTGGAATGACTTAAGAATTCAAACTGTTTTACTTCTTTCCTTAGCCTGAATGGTACCTGGCTCAGGTGCTTATGTGGATTGGGAATCACTCTCAGTTTCTGGATGAGAAGATTCAGCCGATTTTGGACAAAGTGGGCCCTTCGGTAAATGCTAGGGTAAGAGACTCAGTCCTAAGCATTCCAGTTTTAGAGTTGGATGTGTCCACAAATAACCTGTCATCTACATTACCTTATGCGTACATATTTCTTTCAGCTCGAATTTTCCCGGGGCCTTATGATGCTTGTTCTGGAGAAGTTAGCTGCTGATATTCCGTGTCTACTCTACGATGACAGTCTCTTCTGTCATTTGGTGGATGAGGTGCTTTTGTTTGAAAGGGAGCTACACAGTGTTTATGGCTATCCTGACACGTTTGCCAACTGTATGCATATTCTGTCAGAGGAAACCTGTTTTCAGAGGTGGTTGACTGTGGAGAGAAAATGTAAGTGCTTTTGTAGCCATTGGGTGGGAAGAATTGTCTTCTTTTGTGGGTATTAATATTTGGTGTTTTTCTTTCCCAGCTCTGGGTAGAAAACTAGAGTCATCTGAATTTTTCTTGGTCATGGTTTACTAAGGTGCCTTATTTGCTTCCCATCAAACTTCAGTTTCTCTTGAATTTACACTTAGACTGTACATGTTTCCAGAATGCAGCAGTCAAGCCAGTAGCCTATACAGTTAGCTGTCCTACCGATTGTACTACATTATTTCTGTAATTGGTAGAAACTGTTGGTTGTAGCTTGTCTAATCAATGTAAATATTTTGAAGATTTTAGGTAGGGGTGGCAGGGAGAAGTCAAGTATCTTGTTCAACCCTAAACCAGAGCATGTTAAATATAATGCAACCAGTAGGGGATTGTGGAATTGTTTACTTTTTACAGGAAAGTCATTCCTAAAATATTGTGCTGAAAATTAAGAGTATCTATAGTTACTTAAATGACATATTCCCTTTTTTTGCATTTTAGTTGCTCTTCAAAAAATGGACTCTATGCTTTCATCAGAAGCGGCCTGGGTGTCCCAATATAAGGATATCACCGATGTGGATGAGATGAAAGTTCCAGATTGTGCAGAGACTTTTATGACGCTACTACTGGTGATAACTGGTAAGTAGAAGTCTTTTAAGATATAACTTTGTTTTAAAAGTACTGATTCTTGGGGCACCTGGGTGGCTCAGTGGGTTAAAGCCTCTGCCTTCAGCTCAGGTCATGACCCCAGGGTCCTGGGATCGAGCCCCACATCGGGCTCTCTGCTCTGCGGGAGCCTGCTTCCTCCTCTCTCTCTCTGCCTGCCTCTCTGCCTACTTGTGATCTCGGTCTGTCAAATAAATAAATAAAATCTTTAAAAAAAAAAAAAAAGTACTGATTCTTCATATGGTACTTTTTTAAGTAGTTCAACAAAATTAATATCATATAGTGGTTATTTTAATATCTTTAAATACAGTTTCTATCTTGGTAGAATCCTAGTATAATATACTAGCTTTCAGATTTTTAATAATTTAATATCTTAAACATTGGTATAGATGAGGAGGAAATTCCTGAATGGCTACCTAAAAATAATTAATGAGAATTTTATTTATTTATTTATTTATTTATTTTAAAAAAGATTTTATTTATTTATTTGACAGACAGAGATCACAAGTAGGCAGAGAGGCAGGCACAGAGAGAGCGGGGAAGCAGGCTACCCGTGGAGCAGAGAGCCCGATGTGGGGCATGATCCCAGGACCCTGGGATCATGACCCAAGCTGAAGGCAGAGCCTTTAACCCACTGAGCCACCCAGGCACCCAAGAATTTATTTTTATTACCTGAATTCTTTTGCCATTCAGCTTAAGTGTCTTCAGTAGATTGACCTGAATTTTATTTTATTTATTATTATTATTTTTTAAGATGTTGTTTATTTATTTGACAGAGAGAGATCACAAGTAGACAGAGAGAGAGAGGAAGAAGCAGGCTCCCTTCCAAGCAGAGAGCCTGATGTGGGACTCGATCCCAGGACCCTGAGATCATGACCTGAGCCGAAGGCAGAGGCTTAACCCACTGAGCCACCCAGGCGCCCAATTGACCTGAATTTTAAATACCGTTATTTTTCTCCTTGATATGGAAAAGATTGCAGAAGGGACCCCTGGGTGGCTTAGTCGGTTGGGTGTCTGCCTTTCACTCAGGTCCTGATCCCAGGGTCCTGGGATCGAGTCCCGCATCAGGTTCCCTGCTCAGTGGGAAGCCTGCTTCTCCCTCTCCCTCTGCCCCCTGACTCATGCTTCTTCTCTCTCTCTAGTGCTCTCTCTCTCAAGTAAATAAATAAAATCCTTTTAAAAAGAAAAGATTGCAGAAGAATACAATACTAGGGGCGCCTGGATGGCTCAGTGGGTTAAGCCTCTGTCTTCAGCTCAGGTCATGATCCCGGGGTCCTGGGATAGAGCCCCGCATCAGGCTCTCTGCTCAGTAGGGAGCCTGCTTCCTCCTCTCTTTCTGCCTGTCCCTGCCTACTTGTGATCTCTGTCTGTCAAATAAATAAATAAAATTCTTAAAAAAAAAAAAGAATACAATAATAAAGTGACTTTAAGGATTGGAATAGTAAGAGGAACTCTTCTTATAGTGCAAGAATTTCTGGCCGGAGGAAGGCCCAGCAGCCTCTAGTCCTGTTTGGCCTATCCTTGTCTGCATTGTCCCACTGGAAACTTGCCGCTGCTCCAGGTGCCCCTGAGCCCTCAGTACCATCCTTTTCTTGCTTGTCTATTTCCTGGGCCTGTGTAGTCACCTGAACAAGTGTCATTCCAGCCTAGCCAGTAAATAACTCCATATTCTTCATTGTGTGAAGAATATGCAAAACACTAGAACACACAAGAAATCTTTTTTTTTTTTTTTTTTTTTTAGATTTTATTTATTTGCTAGAGAGAGTGAGAGAGCATGAGAGGGGTGAAGGTCAGAGGGAGAAGCAGACTCCCATGGAGCTGGGAGCCCGATGCGGGACTTGATCCCAGGACTCCAGGACCATGACCTGAGCCGAAGGCAGTCGCCTAACCAACTGAGCCACCCAGGCGCCCCAAGAACACACAAGAAATCTAAAAAAACTTTTTTTGGGAGGTGCCTGGGTGGCTCAGTCATTAAGCGTCTGCCTTCAGCTCAGGTCATGATCCCAGAGTCCTGGGATCGAGCGCCGCATTGGGCTCCCTGCTTGGCAAGAAGCCTGTTCTCTTCTCCCACTCCCCCACTTTTTTTTTTTTTTTAAGATTTTATTTATTTATTTGACAGAGAGAGACAGAGAGAGAACCTGAGCAGGGGGAGGGGCTGAGGGAGATAGAGAAGAAGAAGAGGGAGAGAGAGAAGCAGGCTCCCTCAGGGAGCCCGACACAGGGCTCCATCCCAGTACCCTGGGACCATGACCCAAGTCAAAGGCAGACATTTAGCTGACTGGGCCACCCAAGCACCCCTTCCTCCTGTGAAAAAATAAGTCATTTTTTTTGTTGAAGAAATGGAATGATTTTTGTATATATAGATCTTTGACTTACAGTGGGGCTATAGCCTCATAAACCTATCCTAAATGAAAATATTTTAAGTCAGAAATGCATTTAATATGCCTAACCTACTGAATATCACAGTCTACCTTGCACATGCTCACAACACTTAACTTTAGCCATTCATTGGGCAAAATCATCTAACAGAAAGTCTATTTTATGATAAGGTATTGACTGTCTCATGTAATGTATTGAGTGCTGCACTGGTGGCGAAAACCAAAATGGTTGTGTGGGTACAACCGTTCTGTAAAGGCCGAGAGGGCATCGGTTGTCTTCCCTCTCCGTCCCGTGGCTGACAGAGCTGTGGCTTGCTCCCACTGCCCAGGGTCATGAGAGGGTTGTACCCCATATTGCTAGTCTGCGAAAAGAGCCAAATAAAAAATTTGAAGTCGTTTCTATGAATGCGTATAGCTTTTGCACTATCGTAAACTTGAAAAATCTTAAGTTGAACCATCATAAATCAGGCACCATCTACAAATTCCTCATGCCTTAAAAAATTTGACATGTGACTTATACACAGTAAAAGACGTGAATCTAAAGTATACAGTTCAGTGAGTTTTCACAGGTACATATACTTGTGAAACCCATACCCTTATAAAGTGTAGAAATAAGTCCGTACATGAACAGTTGATAGAGGATTTTGGTGCCTTTCTTTTTTTTTAAAGATTTTATTTATTTATTTATTTGACAGAGATCATAAGTAGGCAGAGGCTCCCTGCTGAGCAGGGAGCCCGATGTGGGGCTCGATCCCAGGACCCTGGGATCATGACCTGACCAAAGGCAGAGGGTTTAACTCACTGCACCACGCAGGTGCCCCAGTTGATAGAGTTTTTGACAAAGGCACCCAACAGTGTCAATAGGAAAGCCTCTAACTGTGTAACGGATGGAACCCAAACCTTCATGTCTTACTTTTTCCACAGACAGATATAAAAATCTCCCCACAGCTTCCAGAAAGCTACAGTTCCTGGAGTTACAGAAGGACTTAGTAGATGATTTTAGGATACGATTAACTCAAGTGATGAAAGAAGAGACTAGAGCTTCCCTTGGCTTTCGATACTGTGCGATTCTCAATGCCGTGAACTATATCTCAACAGTCCTAGCAGATTGGGCTGACAATGTTGTAAGTTAATGTACTTTTATTCATCTATTTTAATATATATTTTTGAGTTTATTTATTTATTTTTGTTAATTCTGCATCCGATGTGGGGCTTAAACTCACATCCTGAGATCAAGAGTTAGTTACATGCTCTTCTGACTGAGCCAGCCAGGCACTCTATTAATACGCTTTTATATTAAATAACGAATTAGTAGTTTTAACAGTTTTACCTTTTGAAATGTTGAATTTATAACATGCTGAACTTACACATTAGGTACAATAACAATTGGGCCAAATTTAGGGGATATGATTAAATTATATATTTTTCTCAATTAAGTCTCAAATGGTTAAATAATCCCTAGATTTTAATCATTAGAAAAGAAAGGCAAAAAATAAATTTTAAATTATGAATTTATGACAAAAATTCTTTAATCTTAATTAATTTTGTGTAATAGTTGTCTATAGAATGAACCTTTTTCTTTTTTAGACTTGGGAAATATTCATGTATGGTAATTGCCATCTCGGAAAAAGCTAACATTGAATAATGGTGTCAAAATCAGTAAAATCCAGGACTGTAAGAAAGATCAAATAATAGCATTTGAGGGGTACCTGCCCGGCTCAGTTGGTAGAACATGGGACTCTTGGTCTCGGGGTCCTGAGTTTGAGCCCCACATAGAGATTACATAAAAAAATAAAATAATAATAATATTGGCTACCTTTTGAATGCCTTCAAGACACGAGTAAATAGAGGGACACCTGCGTGGCCCAGTTGGTTAAGCAGCCGACTCTTGGTTTCAGCTCAGGTCGTGATCTTGGGTGACATGGAGCCCTCTCTCTCTGTCCCTCCTGCTTGTGCTCTTGCTTTCTCTCTCAAATAAATAAATCTTTAAAAAAGAAACAAAACATGAGTAAATCGAATAATAAAAGGGATTCCCATGTGCCTATGACCCAGCTTCTTAGACCAGTTTTGTTTTAAGCCTCTTCTCCATCCCCCACCCTTGATTATTTTGAAGATCTTAGATATATTTCATGATAAATATTTCAAAATGTATCTCTAAGAGAACGCCTTTAAAAAAAAGTACCACAATGCCATTATCACATCATCCAAAAAAATTAATTTCTTATAGTGAGAGGTATCTTTCAAATAAATCTAAAAATCAAAACCTTGGGTCTGGTTAGCATGTATTACAAGGGCCTTTTACATCCAGGAATTTTATTTATCTTTCCTTTATCCACACAATGCTGTGTGTTGACAGATTTGGTCTGCCTATTTATTTATTTATTAAAGATTTATTTATTTGAGTGCATGCACACGCTTGAGAGCAGGGAGAGAGAACCCCAAGCTGACTCCTGATAAGTGCAGACACTGGGCTTGATCTCACAATCCTGGCATCAGAACCTGAGCTGAAATCAAGAGTCAGAAGCTTAACAGCTGTGCCACCCAGGTGCGCCTGTATTTACTCATGTTTTAAAGGCATCAAGGGGCGCCTGGGTGGCTCAGTGGGTTAAACCCTCTGCCTTCAGCTCAGGTCATGATCTCAGGGTCATGGGATAGAGCTCTGCATCGGGCTTTCTGCTCAGCAGTGAGCCTGCTTCCCCATCTCTCTCTGCCTGTCTTTCTGCCTACTTGTGATCTCTGTCTGTCAAATAAATGAATAAAATCTTTAAAAAAGTAAATTTTAGATTATGAATTTATGACAAAAAAATTGTATAATGCTAGTGTATTATATAGAAGTTCTATTCCTCTACTGTGAAAGAACGAATGAAACAAAAAATTCTTTAATCTTAATTAAATACAGGGTAATAAATTTTAAAAAATAGGGAACAAAAATAAAATAATAACAAATATAAAACAAGATGAAAACCTGAGAAACACAATCATAGTTTATTCTATTCTGGACTCTTTGGCTGGGACTTAAATATATAAAGCCTTTTTTCTACAAAAATATTAACTGAAATCCATGTATGTAATAACATTCTGCTAAGCAAGGAAAATAAGACAAAATAATTACTTCATAAAATGAATATAATGTAGGGGCACCTGGGTGGCTCAGTGGGTTAGGCCGCTGCCTTCGGCTCGGGTCATGATCTCAGGATCCTGGCATCGAGCCCCGCATCGGGCTTTCTGCTCAACGGGGAGCCTGCTTCCCCCTCCCCCCTCTGCCTGCCTCTCTGCCTACTTGTGATCTCTCTCTCTGTGTCAAATAAATAAATAAAAATCTTTTAAAAAAAATGAATATAATGTAAAGTGTAATGATCACAGCATTTGTTTATAATGGCACCCAATTAGAATACATTTATTCATTGTGTACTTTTGTGTTGTTTTCCTCATCCTGTACTTTCTTCACTCAGCCCCCACACCGCTCCATTTTCTGCTGAGCTTTGTCATAAAACAAATTGTCAATCCTCTTTCTTGTGCCAGATGATCTAATAAGAGACTCATTCAGGGCCAGATTTTTAGCTTCAACGAATTATTTGTGAAACATCATTAAATACTTTACTTGGTGCCATAGTCTGTTAACGACAGTGAATTGGCCATCATCCCTATCCTTAGGAAATTTATAATCTGATGCTGAATTAACTGGATCCTTCTGTCAACAGAAGAATAACTAAATTTAGAGTTACTCTTCAAATCATGAATGAGTTCTTTGCATGTTATTATATTACAAATCTGTTTAACATCAAAAATTGACTTTCTTCATGGTCCTTCAGCCTGTGAATGCTTAAAATAAAATTAAAGCTCTTGTATTAGCTAGATAGAAAAAAGAAGAGTGGACAGAGTTCACTTTCCATTTGTTTAGATTCTATGCTAATAGCTGTCTGACTATTGCCAGATTGTGCCAAGCCTGACATACACAGCCCTTCAGCATCAGGAATTTTTGAGTTGTAGGTGACAGAAACCAGATTCATGTTGGCCTGAGTGCGAGTGGGGGGCTGGGGTGAGGAGGTGAGGATTTGGTGTAACTGAAAGCATTAGGCATGGCTGCCGCTGCCCTAAAGTCGTTCGCTTCTGGCTTCGTTCTCAGGCAGGCTCTGGGAAGCATGGCCACAGGTGGCTTCAAGCTCACATTGTCATTCACCAGTCCCCAAAGGTCCAGTGCCTCTTCTCCATTTGAGCAGAAAATTCCATCTTGGCCTCTCACATGTCCATCCGTGAACAATCCCTAGTGTGGCCATATCCAGTCCCCAGTTAATGGACATTTAGGCTATTTTTAATTTTTTGCTAATTATCCACAGCATTATTCATATTAGAAAAATGTTTTTTGCTACCCTACAGAAAAATAATATGAATTCTACTGAAAATGCCACTATGAAAATGACATTTTAATTTTACTTTTTTTTTTTTTAATTATTTATTTATTTGACAGAAAGAGAGACACAGCGAGAGAGGGAACAAAAGCAGGGGGAGTCGGAGGGGGAGAAGCAGACTCCCCACTGAGCAGGGAGCAGGATGCGGTGCTCAGTCCCAGACCCTGGGATCATGACCTGAGCTGAAGGCAGCTGCTTAATTGACTGAGCCACCCAGATTTTAATCTTCTCTTTTTTAAAGATTTATTTATTTATTTATTTGACAGATAGGGATCACAAGTAGGTAGAGAGGCAGGGGAAGCAGGCTCCCCGCTGAGCAGAGAGCCTGATGCGAGGCTCGATCCCAGGACTCCCGAGATCATGACCTGAGCCAAAGGCAGAGGCTTAACCCACTGAGCAACCCAGGCGCCTCTCGCATTTTAATTTTCTTAACTGTCATAAATCTCTTGGTTTTACTACAACTCTTAGTCTGTACCCAGAAAAAATGAATACCCAAAGAAGTTAGCCATCAGGCAAATGCAAATTAAAATCACAGTGAAACCTCTACCTCTGAAACCAATAATACATTATATGTTAATTGAATTTAAATAAAAATAAAAAATAAAATCGCAGTGAGATGGGCTGCCTGGGTAGCTCAGTCGGTTTCTCTTGATTTCAACTCAGGTCATGATCTCAGGGTTGTGAGATCCAGCCCCACCTTGGGCTCCGTGCTGGGTAAGAGTCTGCTTGAGATTCTGTCTCTCCTTCGCCCACCAGCCCCTCCCCCCGCTCCGGCTCCTTGCACACACCCTCTCTCTCTCAGTCTCAAACAAACACAGTGAGATACCACTAAATATAAACTAAGATGGCTATAATAAAACAGTAAGTGTTATCAGTGCAGTTGTGGAGAAATTTGTATGGTCACACATGGTTTGTACAGTCACTGTGGAAAACAGTCTGTCATATCCTCAGATAGTTAAACCTAGAATTACCATATGATCTAGCAATTGTACTTCTAGGTGTATCCAAGAGAAATAAAGGCCTATGTCTACAAAAAACTTACACAATGTTCATAGCAGTGTTATTCATAAAGACAAAAAGTGGAAAGAACCTAATTATCTGTCAAATGATGACTGAATAAATAAATATAAATAAAATGTAAATATATTGGAATATTATTCAGCAGTGAAAGGAAATTAAGTACTGATTGATATATGTTACAACATAGATGAACCCTGAAAACATACTAAGTGAAATAAGCCAGTCACAAAGAGCCATAAATTGTATAATTCCATTTATACGAAATGTCCAGAACAGGCAAGTTGACAAAGACAGGAAGATTAGTGGTTGCCTACAGTTTGGCAGGCAGGGAGGGAATTGGGAGATGATGGTTAAGTGTGGGTATCTTTTGGGGGTAAAGAAAACATTCTAGAGGCGCCTGGGTGTCTCAGTCGTTAAGCGTCTGCCTTCAGCTCAGGTCATGATCCCAGGGTCCTGGGATCGAGCCCCACATTGGGCTCCCTGCTCAGCAGGGAGTCTGCTTATCTCTCTCCCACTCGCCCTGCTTGTGTTTCCTCTCTTCCTGTCCCTCTCTGTTAAATAAATAAAATCTTAAAAAAAAAAAAAAAGATTCTAAAATTGACTCTGGTGATAAATGCACAACTCTGAATGTACTCTAAAACCCAATGAGTTGTCCACTTGAAATGAATAAGATGTAGTACGTGAATTATATTTCAAGCTGTTAAAAAATATATCATTTTTTTAAAAGAAGTATTTTAATAACCATGTGAACCTATTTTTGCTTTCAGTTTTTCCTACAACTTCAACAGGCAGCACTGGAGGTCTTTGCAGAGAATAACACCCTCAGTAAGTTGCAGCTGGGACAGCTAGCCTCCATGGAGAGTTCTGTCTTTGATGACATGATTAACTTGCTGGAACGTTTAAAGCATGACATGTTGACCCGCCAAGTAGACCACGTTTTTAGAGAAGTTAAAGAAGCTGCAAAATTGTATAAAAAAGAAAGGTAAGTCCTTTTGTATTTTCTGATAACTCAACTCTCAAATTCAGTTTGCTAAAAATTGAAAGACGATAAATACCTATTTTTCTCAAATTATTCCAAAAAACAGAAGAGGAAGGAAAGCTTCCTAATTCACTCCATGAGACCAACATTACCTTGATACCAAGACCAGATAAAGGCACCACAAAAAAAGAATTATAGGCCAATATCCCTGATGAACATAGATGCAAAAATCCTCAACAAAATACTACCAAACCAAACCCAACAGTGCATTAAAAAAAAATCATTTGTCACGATCAAGTGGGATTTATTCCTGGCTTGCAAGTGTAGTTCGGTATTTGCAAATCGGTCAGCATGAACACATTACATCAAATAGAGAAAGGATAACCATATGATCATTTCAGTAGATGCAGAAAAAACATTTGACACAGTACAACATCCATGATAAAAACCCTCAACAAAGTAGGTTTAGAGAGAGCACACCTCAACATGATAGAGGCCATCTATGAAAATTGCACAGCAAACGTCATCCTCAGTGGGGGACAACTGAGAGCCTTTCCCCCTAAGGTCAGGAACAAGACAGGGATGTCCACTCTCACCATTTTATTCAGCCTAATACTGGAAGCCCTAACCACAGCAATCAGACAACAAAAAGAAACAAAAGGCATCCACATTGGTAAGGAGGAAGTAAAACTTTGCTGAAGACATGATACTGTATACAGAAAACCTAAAAGACTCCACCAACAAATTGCTAGAACTGATCATGAATTCAGTAAAGTCAGAGAATATACAACATACAAAAGTCTGTTGCATTTCTGTCCACCAGTAATGAAGCAGAAAAAGAAATTAAGAAAACCATCCCATTTAAAATTGCACCCAAAATAATAAGGTAACCTAGGAATAAACCCAACCAAAGAGGTGAAAGACCTGTCCTCTGAAAGCTATAGCACGGATGGAAGAAATTGAAGATGACACAAAGAGATGGAAAGACATTCCGTGCTCATGGATTGAAAGAACAAACATTGTTAAATGTCTGTGCTACCCAAAGCAGTCTACACATTTAATGCAATCCCTATCAAAATACCAACAGCATCTTTCACAGAACTAGAACAAACAATCCTAAAATTTGTATGGAGCCGCAAAAGACCTCAAGTAGCCAAAGTAATCTCGGAGGGAAGAAAAAAAAGCATAGCTGGAAGCAGCAGGATTCCAGACCTCAAGTTATATGACAAAGCTATAGACATCAGAGGAGTACTGGCCCCAAAAATAGACACACAGATCATAGAACAGAAATAAAAAAATTTAGAAATAGAAATTTCTAGAAAACCCAGAAATAATAAATAAACCCAGAAATAAATCCATGATTATATGGTCAATTAATCTTCGACAAAGCAGGAAAGAAAAATGGGAAACAGTCTCCTCAACAAATGGTGTTGGGCTCGGGCGCCTGGGTGGCTCAGTGTGTCAAAGCCTCTGCCTTCTGCTCAGGTCATGATCCCAAGGTCCTGGGTCGAGCCCCGAATTGGGCTCTCTGCTCAGCAGGGAGCCTGCTTCCTCTTCTCTCTCTCTGCCTACCTCTCCCCCTACTTGAGATCTCCGTCTGTCAAATAAATAAATAAAATCTTAAAACAAAAAACAAAGGGTGTTGGGAAAACTGGACAGCTACATGAAAAGGATGAAAAGTGGGCCACTTTCTTATACCATATTACAAAAATAAACTCAAAATGGATTAAAGACCTAAATGTGAGACCTGGAACCATAAAAATTCAGGAAGAGAACACTAGCCGGAACTTAGATATCGGCCATAGAAACTTTCTTCTAGAAAGGTCCCCTGAGGCAAGGGAAACAAAAGCAAAAATAAACTATTGGGGCTACATCAGAATAAAAAGCTTCAGTACAGGGAAGAAAAGTCAATAACTAAAAGGCAATCTACAGAATGGGAGAAGATATTTGTAAATCCATATCCGATAAAGGGTTATATATCCAAAATATATAGAGAACTTCTAAAACTCAAAAAATAAATAGGCCAATTAAAAAATGGGCAGGAGCACCTGGGTGGCTTAGTCAGCTGAGTGTGGGACTCTTGATTTCAACACAGGTCTTGATATCAGGATCAGGAGTTTAAGCCCTGCATTAGGCTCCATGCTGGGCCTGGAGCTCCCTTTAAAACAAAACCAAAAAAAAAACAGGGCAGAAGACCTGAACAGACATTTTTTCCAAAGAAGACATCCAGACGGCCAGCAAACACATGAAAAGATACTCATCATCACTGACCATCAGGGAAATGCAAATCAAAACCACAATGAGATATCGCCTCACACCTGTTGGAATGGCTAAAATCAAAAACAAGAAAAAACAGGTATTGGCAAGGATGTGGAGAAAGGGGAACCCTCCTACACATTGGTGGGAATGCAAGCTGGTGCAGCCACTCTGGAAGACAGTGTGGAGGTTCCTCAAGAAGTTAAAAATAGAGTAACCCTACCATCCAGCAATCCCAGTACTGGGTATTTACCCAAAGAATACAGAAACACTAATTCAAAGGAATGAATGCACCGCAATGTTTATAGCAGTACTATCTACAATAGCCAAGTTAGGGCAACAGCCCAAGTGTCCGTCAACTGATGAATGGATAAAGACACACACAGGCACACACACACACGTGTGTGTGTGTGTGTGCATGTGTGTGTGCACGTATCATAGTATATGTAATATAATGGAGTATTATTCAGGCATAAACAAGAATGAAATCTTGCCATTTGCAAGACATGAATGGAGCTAGAGAGTATTATGCTAAGTTAAATAAATCAGAGAAAGATAAATAGCATAAGATTTCACTCATAAGTAGAATTTAAGACACAAAACAAATGAGCATAGGGGGAAACAGATGAATCAAGAAAGAGACTCTTAACGATGGAGAACACACTGCTGGTTACCAGGGGGGAGGTGGCTGGGGGAATGAGTGAAATAGGTGACAGGGATTAAGGGAGTACGCTTGTGTTGAGCACCGGTGATTTAAATAAAAACTTAAAGGGACACCTGGGTGCCTCAGTGGGTTAAGCTGCAGCCTTGGCTCAGGTCATGATCCCAGGGGCGGGGAATCGAGTCCATCAGGCTCCTTGCTCAGCAGAGAGCCTGCTACTCTCTCTGCCTCTGCCTGCCACTCTGCGTGCTTATGCACGTTCTCTCTCTCTCTCTGACAAATAAATGAAATCTTGAAATTTTTAAGACCTTAAAAACAAATTGAAAGATGATACATATAGTCAATTTCCAAGGCATCTAGACAGCAGAGTTTGGCTCTTTGTGCTACAAACTTTACCTTTTGATGGAAATCTTTCTAAAATATATTCAGACATTCTTAATCAGAATAAACTGATCATAGTTGAGCTCCAGGACTGTCTGTAAATACAGGGAGCTGATGTGTGATGTGGAGCTGAAGGGCCTGTCACCGCTCTACCAAGCATGGTCCAGGGGTGTCCTTCGTGCGCCTGCCTGTACACTTGATCCCGCTGTGGTTCTGTGTGCGCCGCACGGTGTCCTCTAGGAGAACAGTGCCGGTCACATGGAGTATTTCTAATCAGTGTGGAAGTGTTTTCAGTCCCTGTGATCTTGCTGAAAATCAGATCACGAAGTTAGATGTCTTAATGCTAATATGGGTTACATGTTGCCTGTTTTATAAATATTTCAGTAAGTCGTATTAAAATTGGGGGATTTAAAAAAACTATCATCCTCATTACATAGGGGGTATTTAATTTAGAACTAAAGTATAAATTGGGCACCTGGGTGGCTCAGTGGGTTAAGCCCCTGCCTTTGGCTCAGGTCATGAGCTCAGGGTCCTGGGATCGAGCCCCACATTGGGCTCTCTGCTCAGCAGGGAGCCTGCTTCCCTCTCTCTCTCTCTGCCTGCCTCTCTGCCTACTTGTGATTTCTGTCAAATAAATAAAATCTTTTTAAAAAAGCACTAAAGTATAAATTTATTTAAGATTTTATTTATCTATTAGAGAGAGCAAGAGAGCATGAGCAGGGGGGAGAGGGAGAAGCAGACTAACTCCCCGCTGAGCCGGGCTCGATCCTGGGACCCTGGGATCATGACACTCAACCGACTGAGCCACCCAGGCACCCCAAATACATTTATTTCCTGAGAGAGCTTTCCATGCTGGGCCGTGTATAGTTTCTTATCCAACGTGCACTTCCCCGAATTTGAAAGGATCTGTTAAATCTTTCAAAACACCACGTTTGGAAAATCTTGTAGTCATACTTACAGTGCCACAGGCCGCGCTGCTCTTGTGTCTTGCAGATGGCTGTCCTTGCCGTCGCAGGCCGAGCAGGCAGTGATGTCCCTGTCCAGCTCGGCCTGCCCGCTCCTGCTCACGCTCAGAGACCGCTCCCTTCAGCTGGAGCAGCAGCTCTGCTTCTCCTTATTTAAAATTTTCTGGCAAATGCTTGTGGAGAAGCTGGATGTGTACATCTACCAAGAAGTAAGTAAGAGCACACCGCATGTCAGGGCCACGAGGATCAAGGCAACCGTAACATGAGCTGCTCTTTGTTTCAGATCATTCTGGCTAATCACTTCAACGAAGGAGGAGCGGCTCAGCTGCAGTTTGATATGACCCGGAACCTGTTCCCCCTATTCTCCCACTATTGCAAGAGGCCGGAAAATTATTTTAAACAGTAAGCTCGATATTTAACAGTGACTGCTAATGAATCAAGTGCTTAGAGGAGGTTGAATCCTTTTTTTTTTTTTTTTTTTAAATAACAACTCTCAGGGTTCCAGTGATGTTTGGTGGGATAAGTAAAGCATCAATTGAAATTTTAAAATATCCACTATGTACACAGATAATCAAAGATGTGATTCATGACCCCCCAGATTTATCAGGACTGGATCTAAACTACGTGTTGGGCCTTTTGTTTCTTGCATTTGGTTGAATGCTCCTATTTGCCTGTTACTAGAGAGAGAAAATGCAAACAAGTGCAATTCTGCCATATTCAAGAAGTAGAAGAAATTAAAATTATGCTTAGTACCTAATAGTAGGCCAGGCCTGAAGAAAATCTGTTTTCTTAAATATTTAGTATTAATTTTGATTCTAAGCATAACTGTAAATGTATATAAGAACATTTTTAGAAATTGCTGATGTAGGGGCGCCTGGGTGGCTCAGTGGGTTAAAGGCTCTGCCTTTGGCTCAGGTCATGATCCCATGGTCCTGGGATCGAGCCTTGCATCGGGCTCTCTGCTCTGTAGGGAGCCTGCTTCCTCCTCTCTCTCTCTCTCTCTGCCTGCCTCTCTGCCTACATGTGATCTCTGTCAAATAAATAAAATCTTAAAAAAAAAATTGCTGATCTAAATTTAAATTATTGGGGGGAATTTGAGATTATAAAGTATTCCTTTTAAAGTTATTATAAAATGAAAGATTTATTTTTGCTCATTTTAGTAAGTCATCTGCAATTTTGTTTCTCTTCCCATATTCTAATCTAGCTAAACGCTAAGCTACATTTAATAGCAATTAAATTATGTTTATGTTAGTATCATTATTATATTTTGGGCAGTAATAGATACATATTGAAAACAATGGTCCTATTATAGTAATCTAATGAAATATAAACACTATACAAATACATAGTCCTAATGTCTTAAAAGAGCCAAATAAATCCATCAATACTTTTTACAAAAGGCATATGGACTAGCAGTACAGGGAAGTTGTTGAGTTTCTGAAAATGAATATATTATGGAGTAATGTGGATGATACAGATAATGGACCTCCTGCCCTTTTTTTTTCTTTTTCTTAACAGTGTCAAAGAAGCATGTATTGTTTTGAACCTGAACGTCGGTTCTGCCCTACTTCTGAAAGACGTCCTCCAGTCCGATTCCGGGCAGCCTCAGGCCACAGCAGCCTTAAATGAAGTTGGAATTTACAAACTGGCTCAACAAGATGTTGAGATTCTACTTAATTTGAGGACAAACTGGCCTAACACTGGAAAATGATGTATCTTTTTTTGTTTTGGAGTTTTTCGTTTTTAACAAAGAGGAAGCCAGTTGGATTTCGAGTTAAATGATGATGTTCTGAATTAATGAAACTGGACAACTGAAAACTTGATAGAATCATTTATTATCTTGGACTTATGGTGTTATTAAAATGCTGACCATATTTTCTCAGTCCTCTTGTTCCTAAGAAAATAAAAACAGAAAACTCAGAAGCCAGAAAAACTCAGAGTAATTCCATTTACAAATATAAATGCTAAGTCTGTCTGTTGAGTAAGACACAAGAGCAGAGATAATAAATTACAATGAATTTTCAATTTCTTATGCTAATTAAGGGAGACTACTGTAGATAATCAAACACAGCAAATAAATATTTTAAAAATCAATGTAGAATGCATGTTTATAATTGAAGTTCCTATATCTGGTTTGGAAATTCACTGTTTTTCCTGTAAGAAAACATACGGGATGGTGACTAAAACAGAATTGCTCTCATTTTCCACAAATGGCCTTACATTTAAAATCCCTCCTAGGGACGCCCAGGTGGCTCAGTAGGTGAGCGTCAGACTCCCGGTTTCGGCTTAGGTCATGATCTCAGGGTCCTGATCTCAGGGTCCTGGGATCGAGCCCCGTGCTTTGGGCCCCCAGCTCAGTGGGGGGTCTGCTGCAGATTCTCGTTCTCCCCCTCCCTCTGCCCCCCTACCCCTGTGCGCACTCTCTCTCAAAAATAAACCTTTAAAAATAAATAAATAAATAAATAAAATCCTTCCTAGTTCCATTCCATATGACAGTAGACAGCCTTTTCTTTTGGATGAAACATTTCAGGCCAGAGCACTGTGTTTCAGTCTTTCCCCCGCAAGGGTAGGGATGGGAACTAAGCAGTTTTTGTTTAATATTTATGTAAGTAACAATGAGCTGGGAATCTAACTTTTTTTTTCTTCCAACTTTTCCCTGACTCTGGACTTTGTTACGTAATGATTTCTTGATTAATAAATCCTCAGAGAACAAAATATTTAAAGGCATTGAGTTACATTGGTCAGAAGCCTTCTACAGCTATCAAATATTATTTCTTTTTTTTTTTTTTTCCTGATTTAGCATTTAGTTTAGTACTTTTCAAGTGTAATACCCGAAATCTAAAATTGTTGGGCTGGCATGCAACTTATAATGATTTTTTTTGTTTTTTTTGTTTGTTTGTTTGTTTGTTTGTTTGTTTGTTTTGAGTAAGCCCTGCACCCAACATGGGGCTTGAACTCATGACCCTGAGATCAAGAGTCTCATTCTCTACTGATTGAGCCAGTCAGGCCCTACAACTTCTACTATCCATAAACATTTACTTGCTGATAAATAACTTTGAGGAAATGTTCTGAGAGAACTTCTACTGCTCCATATTTTATAGAGAGATTTTCCAATTGGTGAATTGGGCTCAAAGCTTTTCTGTGAGTTGTAGCAGACTAGGGCTTCTCTCCCTCATTCTTTGAGAACTGCTGGGCTTTCCAATTGAGAAAAGAATGAGTCTGCCCCAGAATTTCCTAATTCCAGACTTGACTGTCACTCCTTGCTTTCTAGATAGCTGAAAGTTTCAAGGGAATGAAATGTTTCTGTCAAAAGGAAGGAACTTCTGTTTTAAATTATAGTCTTTGTACCTCAAAGTCATGTCCATTAAATACCAGCCATGTCAAAATAAACTTACACTTCAGATCGGAATTTTTCCAAAGTTATCACATGTCCATCATCTTGTAAAACTTCATCTTCATCCAACAGACCCAGGGTTTTCAGGCCTGTAAAGTCAGAATGAGAAGAAAGGAAAATTCATGAAGCAAGCATTATTTTCAACTAGGGAAAGTTCAAGAACGAGCACGAACTGTTACCTCAGTGGGTAGAGGATACTGACCTTCTCGGTACTGCACAAATGTTATGGTGCCTTTATGTGAAGTGTCCATCATCTCAAACATAGACACGATGTTAGAGTGATCCATAAAGACAGGAAAAGCCACGCCTGTTACTTTGGCAATTCTCAGTCGTTCCAATATAGATATTAAATACTCTCTTGGTTTTTCTGTAAAAGAATGGTTCCAATTCTTTCTGATATAAAATGAAGATATATCACACATGGAAACAGTCATTTAACAATTATTAAGTAACTATGTTCAAGGTACTGTACTAGGCACTGGGGTCATATACCTTGCTCACAAGCAAAACAAGACATTAGACAATCAATTACATATACAAAGTGCTCTACCCAGATATGGGACCTGGGAATTTTTTTAAAAAGAGCTCCTCAGGTGATTCTAATTTGTAGATAAGCGTCGAAGGGGAGGAAAAAAAAGTATAACATGAGGGGTGCCTGGGTGGCTCAGTGGATTAAAGCCTCTGCCTTCAGCTCAGGTCATGATCCCAGGGTCCTGGGATCGAGCCCCGCATTGGGCTCTCTGCTCAGCGGGGAGCCTGCTTCCCCCTCTCTCTGCCTGTCTCTCTGCCTACTTGTGACTTGTGATCTCTGTCAAATAAATAAAATCTTAAAAAAAGTATAACATGATGCATGGAACAAAGTAGCTAAAAGAAGGGATCAAATGCAAATAAGAACAGAGACTCTTAGGTTAATATAGTCTTCCAATTAGGAAGGATGAATGTTCACGTATAAAAGCAGTATTTTGGATAAGTAGGCCAGCTTTCATTTGAGCAACATGGAGGCTGGAAAAAGAAGATCAATCTACTTTCCAGAAATAATGCCGGCCAGTTATGATGAAAAGCAGCCAGAAGTTAAGATGGAGCAGCTGAGATGATAAACGCCACTCATTATACACACACACACACACACACACACACACACACACAGAGTGATTATATATTTCTTTCAAAAACTTTTTTCCTGATGGGGCGCCTGGATGACTCAAGTCGGTTAAGCGTCTGCCTTCGGCTCAGGTCATGATCCCGGAGTCCTGGGATCGAGCCCCACATCAGGCTCCCAGGAGCCTGCTTCTCCCTCTCCTGCCTGCCACTCGCCCTGCTTGTGCTCTCTCTTTCTGTCACATAAATAAATAAAATGTTTTAAAAAAAGATGTTTTCTTGAGAATTTCATAAATATATAAAAGCAGGAAAGTATAACGAACCCGTCAACCCACTTTAACTTAAAATTTGTGGCCAGTCTCATTTCACCATCATCTCATCCAGGCCTCCTCTTCCTGTATTGTTTTGAAGTCAATTACAGTGATAATATTTCATTAATAAATATTTGAGCATGTATCCCTAACAGATAAGGACTCCTTTTGAGATACAACTGACATGTAGCATTGTGTAAGTTTACATAACATGTTGATTTGGTACATTTTTAATTTGCAATATGATTGTCACTGTAGTATTCGCTAACACCTTTACCACATATTTCTTTAAGATCTAGTCTCTTAGCAAGCTTGGTGTTTATCATACAGTGATACTGTCTGTAAGCCCTATGCTGTGCATTAATTTCCAAAAATTACCTTACTTGCCCTCAAACAACAGCTCTCCTACTCCCCCACCACTCACCATTCTACTCCATTTCTACAACTGGCTTTGTTTGATTCCCTATATAAAAGTGGTGTCTTGCAGTATTTGTCTTTCTCTCACTTAGCTCATTTAGCCTATCCTCAAGGGGCATCCTCACTGCAAATGGCAGGATCTCCTTCTTTCTCATGGCTGAATAATATTCCATTGTACAAATATACCACATCTTCATTATTCATTTATCTGTAGACAGACACTTGGGCTGTTTCCATATCTTGGCTTTTGTGAATTATGCAACAGTAAACATGAGTGCGCAGATACCTCCTTCAGATCCTGTTTTCATTTCCTTTGGATATACACCCAGAAGTGGAATTGCTGAGGCATATGGTAGTTCCGATTTAATTTTTTTTTAAGATTTTATTTATTTATTTGACAGAGATCACAAGTAGGCAGAGAGGCAGGCAGAGAGAGAGGGGGAAGCAAGCTCCCCACTGAGCAGAGAGCCCAATGCAGGCCTCGATCCCAGGACCCTGAGATCATGACCTGAGCCGAAAGCAGAGGCTTAACCCACTGAGCCACCCAGGAGCCCCTGATTTAATTTTTTTGAGGAACCTCTATACTGTTTTCCATAGTGGCATTTCCCTGATAATTAGTGATGTTGGGCATCTTTTTATGTACCTGTGGGCCATTGTATACCTTCTTTGGAAAAATGTCTATTTAGCTCCTCTGCCCATTTTTTTTTTTTTTTTTTTTTTTTTTAGTAATTGCTACATCCAACATGGGGCTCAAACTCATGACCCCAAGATCAAGAGTCCCATGTTCTCCTGACTAAGCCAGCCAGGAGCCCTGCCTTGCCCATTTAAAAAAATATATTTTATTTACTTGTCAGATAGAGAGTGAGGGTGAACGAACACAAGCAAGGAAGTGGCAGGCAGAGGGAGAAGCAGGCTCCCCGCCAAGCAGGGAGCCTGATTCGGGACTCGATCCCAGGACCCCGGGATCATGACCCGAGCTGAAGGCAGATGCTTAACCGACTGAGCCACCCAGGTGTCCCATTTTTAAATCCATTTTTTTTTTATTGAGTTGTAGGAGTTCTTTATACATTTTAGATCTTAAATGATGCATAGTTTGCAAATATTTTCTCCTATAGGTTGACTTTCCATTTGTTGATTCTTTTGTGGTGCAGAAGCTTTAAATATGACATAATCCCAGCTGTTGGTTTTTTCATTTTGTTCTTTGTGCTTCTGGTGGTGTATCTAAAAAATTATTGGCAAGACCTGTGTCAGGGAGCTTCTTCCCTGTGTTTTCTTCTAGGAGTCTTATGGTATCAGGTTGTCCCACACATTTTATGAATTGAGAACCCTTTTTAAATATAAAAAAGTTGGGGCGCCTGGATGGCTCAGTCAGTTAAGCATCTGACTTCGGCTCAGATCATGATCTCAGCGTCCTGTCCAACATGGAGCCCCATGTTGGGCTCTGTGCTCAGCAGGGAGTCTGCTCCCTCTCTCACTCCCTCTGCTGTTCCCTCTCTCAATGTCTTTCTCTGTCAAATAGATAAATAAAGTCTTTTATTTATTTATTTTTTTATTAAAGATTTTTATTTATTTATTTGACAGACAGAGATCACAAGTAGACAGAGAGGCAGGCAGAGAGAGAGGAAGGGAAGCAGGCTCCCTGCTGAGCAGAGAGCCTGATTCGGGACTCGATCACAGGACCCTGAGATCATGACCTGAGCCGAAGGCAGCGGCTCAACCCACTGAGCCACCCAGGCGCCCAAATAAAGTCTTTTAAAAATGAATTTAAACACTTATTCAAATAGCACCCACACATTGTGATTATGTTTTTAGATCTCTCTTGTGCCTTTCTGTACAAACTTTAACAGACTATAGAAACAATTGGGTTACTGAAGGCAATCCCATCATGTATGTGGTCTTCTGTCGTTTCTCTCTGAACTACTTACCAAATTCAGAAAAAGAAAAAAGGCCAAGTTTGAATTTCAATTTACTACTTTTCTTTTTAAGGACAGACTAAGTAAATAATGCTAATGGAACTTGGTGTGTTTCTCTGATGAAGGATTTTTACTGTATATCCTTTAGACTACATGAGATGCTATAATGTTTAAGTCTAGAGTCTATAATTTATACTCCTAAAATGTTTTGAAAATGCTTACAACAGAAGTAATAAAAATATTACCTTTAAAGAAATTTTTTTTTTAAGATTTTATTTATCTATCTGACAGAGAGACAGAGATCACAAGGAGGCAGAGAGGCAGGCAGAGAGAGAGAGAGGGAGAAGCAGGCTCCCCGCGGAGCAGAGAGCCCAATGTGGGGCTTGATCCCAGGACTCTGAGATCATGACCTGAGCCGAAGGCAGAGGCTTAACCCGCTGAGCCACCCAGGTGCCCCAAGAAATATTTTATTTTTAAGTAATCTCTCTACCTGACATGGGGATTGAACTCACAACCCTAAGAACAAGAGTCATTTGCTCCACTGACTGAGGAAGCCAGCTGCCCCTAAAGATAGGACTTTTAAAAACACGAAGAGGGGTTGCCTGGCTGACTCAGCTGGTTGAGCGTGCCACTCTTGATTTCAGGTCAGGTCATCTCAGGGTCCTGGGATTGGGCCCCACGTCAGGCTCTGCACTGGTCATGGAGTTGGCTTGAGATTCTCTCCCCCCCTCCTTCTCCTGGCTTGTCCGCGTACTGTCTCAAACAAATAAATCTTTAAAAAATTTTAAAAAATAAAACATGAAGGGAAGATCCAAATGTTACTAACCACCTAAATTATATAAGTGTCAGCTGATAATGACACTCAGTTTTTGTAAAACAAAACCTCAAGTTCACATCTTAATAATAAATGCTAATAATTATTGAGCCCTCACTGGTATTCCCCATAACCATCACTTCCCCAAGACCACAGCTAGTATGAATCCATAATGTGCTCCCTAAAATGTGCAGTAAAGCCTAGTTACTAGGAGTTAGTAGGGAGTTAGTAGGGAGCACTCTACTAACTCAAATATGGGAAGCATCTGGAAACCCCAAACCTTGACAGCATGATGGTCTCTGTTGAATTTTTCCTCCTCCGTAACTCTCAAAGGTATCTTATCCTCATTTAACCATTCCCATAGCAATATCTCTCACCTGGGTTACTACAACTGTCTCTTTTTTTAAAATGAAATTTTAATTCTATTAAAGGCCTCTCCTAAGCATTTATACTCCCTCCCTCCCTAGCACAGAATTGTCGCTAGGAAGTGACACATTTTCCTACCGAATGACTTCAGGTCATGTTAGGTTTTGCTGTTAAATGAGTTATGAAAATCTGTTAGTTTCCAGAGCTGATAGAATTCTGGAGTTGAGGATGTGGAATTGTAGACCTGTTCCCTCAACAGTAGTAACACAATCAAACTGTCTAGACTTATTTTCCATAAATCCCTTTTTAAAATTTTTTAAAAAAATTTTTTTAAAGATTTTATTTATTTGTTCGACAGACAGAGATCACAAGTAGGCAGAGAGGCAGGCAGAGAGAGAGAGAGGAGGAAGCAGGCTCCTTGCTGAGCAGAGAGCCCGATGTGGGGCTCGATCCCAGGACCCTGAGATCATGACCCAAGCGGAAGGCAGAGGCTTTAACCCACTGAGCCCCCCAGGCGCCTCCATAAATCCCTTTAAGATCCAAGCTTTTCAAACTGGGATCCATGTCATAATGCCAGAGGCTTCGGATAGACCTGAGGTAAAGATAATGTTTCTTCCTGAGAATCAATCATACTCTAGTGAGTAATGTGAAACATTTATAGTAAGAAATGGGTATTTCTGCAGAAGAACAAAACTTGTAAATTTTTATGGTAATACAAGTGACTCCAAAGAAACTTGTCAGGCAGCAGCAGGCTAAGGTCTCAGACACCAAAGGTACAAGTCCCCTCTTCTCTGCCATTAGGAGAATCTGGGCTGGAACCTTGGAGAGGCATTGCTCTATACTCTGGACACCAGCCAAACCCTTCCTTAGCTTCTCCTCAGTATTTCTTCATCTTTTTCCGGCCCCTCCCCACTCCCTTTGGAGTTTGTAAAGATGTTTCAAGAAGTTTACATTGTGGGGTGCCTAGATGGCTCAGTTGGTTAAATGTCTGCCTTCAGCTTGGGTCATGATCTCAGGGTCTTGGGATAAAGTCCCACATCTGGCTCCCGGCTCAGCAGGGATCCTGCTTCCCCCTCTGACCCTCCCCCCTGCTTATGCTTGCTCTCTCTCTCTCAAATAAATAAATAACATCTTTAAAAAAGAAAAAGTTCGGGGCGCCTGGGTGGCTCAGTGGGTTAAGCCTCTGCCTTTGGCTCAGGTCATGATCCCATGGTCCAGGGATCAAGCCCCATATAGGGCTCTCTGCTCAGCGGGGAGCCTGCTTCCCCCCACCCCCTGCCGCCTCTCTCTCTGCCTTCCTCTCTGCCTACTTGTGATCTCTCTCAAATAAATAAATAAAATCTTTAAGAATAAATACATAAATAAAAAGAAAAAGAAAAAAGAAAAAGTTCACATTGTTACAGGGGGTAACAGCATCTCAGTTTCTTACATTGATAATTATTTAAATTATGAATGGGATAGAATTACAATATTAATTGTGTAACTACTACCAGACCTCCCCTTCCTATCCTCTGCTGAGAAATTTGTCTTTATCTTAGATTCTCTTTCCCCCACCATGCCTTCTATAGGAGAATGCTGCTTTTGCCAGACGAGTTCAAAGCCTTTTATGTTAAAGGAAAAAAACGAATCCTTGAGATACTACATTGGTTGACATTAGAAAGAGCTTGAGAGAAAAAGGCCAGGAAAGAAGCAGGAAACAGAAAAAAAAAATATATATATATATACAAACTAAAAAAAGACCACAAAGTACCTACTAACACAGTGAATGAGAAAACAGACAAAAACAAACCCATTTCAAGGCATGTAAACATTTAGAACAATAGGGATAAGGGGCGCCTGGGTGGCTCAGTGGGTTAAGCCTCTGCTTTCAGCTCAGGTCGTGGTCTCAGGGTCCTGGCATTGAGCCCCAGAGCCCCGCATGCAGCCCCAGCAAAAAAAAAAAAAAAAAAAGGAGGACACGTATTTAAAAAAAGAGAGAGAGAGAACAACAGGGATAAAATAAAACTTCCAGAAGAGAAAAAAGTCTTCATTAAACAGGTCAAGAATCTGATGACGTCACGCCATCAGACTCTTGAGAACAACTGTGGCAATTAAAAGAGGAAGGGGCACAGCCCTCCAAATTCTGAAGGCAGTACTTTCTGAGAATTGTATCTACCCTAGTTATCATGTTTGAGTGTAGGATGAGACACTACCATACACGTGAGTTCTCAAAATATTTACCGCTCCAAGGAAGCACGCTCCTTGGTCTGTCCTCTAGAGGGAGAAAAGGCAAAAAAAAAAAAAAAAAAAAAAAAAAAAAAAAAAGTGCGGGGGGGGGGGGGGGAAAGAGACCCAAGCACCATAAAACAGACTGTAAGCAGAGGAGAGAGGTGAAAAGGTTAAGGTCTGAGAAGAGAGAGGGAAACCCCTGAATTACAGCCACACAGCAGCGCAGCTGGGCCATCAGTCTAGTCCGGAGCAAGAAGACAGAGCTGGGGGATGCCCTGGGGTAGGGGAGTGTTTACACCATGACTCTCCTCTCCTAGACTCTCCTGTTCTACCTAGAGGGGAGCTCTGCTTGCTACAAAAAGAGATTATCGATGACTGAGTAGTAATGACACAAAATTTAAGTCAACATTTAAAATGTGGTATTACTAATTTCCAGGAAATCAACAAAGGAAATACAGTCATAGCATGCTACACGGATTCGCTGTGGATATTTGCCTAATAATAATAATGCATATTCTAAATGCTGGCCACACCAAAACTGAATTATAATTTTATTGGGAAGGTGGGGATGAGTGGGAACAGGTGTGAGTGTACATGCATGTCTGTAAGCGAGCTGACGTTTCCTCCTACACAGTGTAAAGCTAAATCTAAACCCCGGGGGCTGAGGGGACATTGGTAAGTAGCAGTAAAGTCTGTGATCTAGAAATATCAAGGAGTTGTCAATCATTCTTTACAACAGGAATCTGGGGCAGGGAGGGAAACGCTGTTTTTCTCTATAAGCCTTGGGGTGCTTTTTGACTTTTAAACCCCATACGCATATACTTTTATAAAAATCGAAATGAAACACGTGTTGGTTGCCAGCCGTAGGGTTAACTTATATATTACCCATTCAATCTTCCCCACGTGTCCACAGCTAGGTACTGTTCCCCCATTCTCCAGAAGAGGACCCTGACGTCCAGGCCCTCGCCCACACTCCGCTAGTGTTAAGGACGACCCTCCCCCGAGCCTCTCCCCACCCGCCGCGAGCCTCCCCCTACGAGAGCCCCGCGCACCTGGCCAGTGGCCCGCACAAAAGAGGCCGTTCAACCAGTACTCGCTTGACTGAGGGCCACAGCCGCCGAGAGGCCCGGCTGGGAGTGCCTGCTGCGGGGTCCCAGGGAGGCGGGCGGGCGGTGCGGGCGCGCAGGGAGGGCAGTACCGGGAGTTTCTGGGAACCGCCCGGCAGGGAGGCGGGTGTGGAACGAAAGCCGAGCGGTAGGCAAGACTCTTACCCGGCCGGAAAAAGAGTAGGGTGCTGGTGAGATAGTTCAGCAACTCCATAATCCGGTGTTTTCCCAAGTAATTCCTGGCCTCCAGCTCCCTGCTGCCGCCCGCCGGCATGGCTCAGCGTGGGGGCGTTGCTAGGCGACCAGGCGGCGTCGGGGCCGTTGGGCTCCACCCCCTCCGTCCAGCGCGGTCGGCCTCAGGGGGCGACCTGAGACCGGAGTTCTCCACTTCCTCGCGGAGAGGAAGCCTGGGGGCGGCGTGGGGTGGCGCCTGCGCGGAGGCTGAGGGTGGCCGGTGCTGAGCCCCTGGCGGGCGGAGGGTCGGGTTCCCCCGCTGGGCGGAGGGCTGGGCCGGATCGGCTTTTCCTGTTTTTGTCTCGAGCACCTAACCCAGTGCTTGTTGATCCAGGGACTGAGACCTCAGGTTCTAATAACAGAGGATGAACCTGGGGAATTAGAGAGCATACAGGGAGAGTCCTAATCGGGGTAGGAGTCCGCCGGCTTTCTGCCCTGGGCTGCGGGTCGGGAAGCGTGCTGGGATCCTGAGCGCCAACGTCTCTGCAGCTTAACTAGGCTGCACCGAGGGGTCGTGTCAAAGACCACCTGACAGTAGTGTTGAGGGAGAGTCACTGAGTACGACGGGATGCAGGTGCATAGCAGGGCCCGCGCTTCAGTCGTCGGTTTGCCTCGGAAACTGGACTCTAGGCTGGGACTTATGTCCTTGAGGGCCGGGCCAGGCTCGGAAGCCTGTGGCCTTACCGTCAACAGGGAGTTATCCCAGGACAGGCACTTCAAGGAGAGAAAAGACAAATGGCCAATAAACATACGAAAATATTCCCAGCCTCTTCGACAATCCTGTAAACAAAACTACAAGAAAACGCCAGTTTACATGTAGCAGACTGGTCATAGTTAGGAAGTTGGACAATATCGAGCTGGCAAGGATACACTGCGACAAAACAGTGATGACGGGAGCCTAAATTGGAACACCCACTTTGGACAATCGATTTGGAATTATCTTGATAAGGCAAGCATGTTTCTGCACTCAGAGAGCAGCTCTTGGACAGGTGTACCCGGATATGTGCACAAGAATGTTCACAGCAGCACACTTCATAATAACAAACACTGACGTCCCCAAAGTTCATCAAGAACACAATGGATTGGGGAACCTGGGTGGCTCAGTTGGTTGGGCATCTGCCTTTGGCTCAGGTCATGATCCCATGTGTTGTGGGATAGAGCCCCATATGCGGCTTCGTGCTCCCGGTGGAGTTTGCTTGTCCCTCTCCCTCTGCTCTTTCCTGGCTTGCGCGCGCTCTCTCTCTCTCTCTCTCTGTCTCTCAAATAAATGAATAAAATCTTAAAAATATCAGGACTGTTCTTTAATGGAGGAAGAGAAGACTGCGTGGTGGTCCATTGGAGACGGTGATTTCTGCGTGGTGCTCTAAGCTCAAGACATTTGGTCCTCCCTGTGAGAGCTTCACTTACTCTCCCTGGGTTACTCGGGCCCTGAATAAATAGCTCTGCTCTTGGAACCTCAGACGACCTAGAACCTTGACCTGGAAATGCAGCGGTCCGATCTTCTGTGACTGTGGAGGCAGGCTGCACGCTGGACCCTGCGGACGTCTTCCTGACTGTCTTCTGTTCCAAAAGTCCTGGCTGCGTTCCTGTGCCCAGTGCTCCCTCTTACAATTCCCGCGGAAGTGATGCTAAAGAGAAGTATCCAGATGCCACCTAGTGGACCAGCTATTTCTGTTGATGCCTTTCCTCTCTCTCAAGAGTTTACTTATTTGAGAGTGTGTGTGCCTGAGCGTGAGCAGGGGGGAGGGCAGAGGGAGAAGCAGACACCCCGCTGAGCGGGGAGCTCTATGCCAGGCTCGAGGTGGGGCTCGATCCCAAAACCCTGGGATCGTGACCTGACCCAAAGGCGGATGCTTAGCAGACTGAGCCAGCCAGGTGCCCCATGCTGGTGCCATCTCTTAAGGCAATTTGGGCTTAATTAATCACCGTCATCAACATCGCCATCCTAATGCGTCACCATCCCTTTGACTTCCCCCTCGCCCCTCTACTTGTTATTGCTAACCCTTTAGTGGTTTGGGAGAGTAACTCCAGTTGGAAGACGTGAAGGCGGTGGTTCCCAATCACAACTGCGCCTTAGAACCAACCGGGTCCTTTAGAGAGTACTGGAGGCGGAGCCCCATTCTAGACGCAGGAAATGGAATCTCTTGAATTGGGGCAGGAACATTGGTAGTTCTGTTGTTGTTGCTTTAAAAGCAAGGATTGAGGTATAATTAACATTTAAAAAACTGCACATCTGGGGCGCCTGGGTGGCTTAGTGGGTTAAAGCCTCTGCCTTGGGCTCGGGTCATGATCTCAGGGTCCTGGGATCGAGCCCCTATTGGGCTCTCTGCTCAGCACAGAGCCTGCTTTCCCTGCCCCGCCGCCTTGCCTGCCTCTCTGCCTACTTGTGATCTCTGTCAAGTAAATTTAAATAAATTTAAAAATAAATAAATAAACTGCACATCTTTAAGGTGTACTCATTGATAAATATACATCCATGAAACCATGACTGCAGTCAAGACGAGAAACATATCTATAACCCCCAAAGGTTGCCCTGTTCCCCTTTCTAGTTCCTCCCCCTCACCCCTCCTCCACCCTGCTCCCCCATCGCCAGGTAACCACTGACCTGCTAGCTATTCCTCTAGATTAGTTTACATTTTCTGATTTTACATAAATGGAGCCACACAGCATGGGTTTGCTGTTCTTTTTTTGGCTCAGTGAGTGTCTTTCACTCGATATAATTTTTTTTAACATTTTATTTATTTGTCAGAGAGAGAGAGAGAGAGCACAAGCAGGGGGAGCAGCAGAGGCAGAGAGAGAAGCAGACTCCCCGCTGAGCAAGGAGCCCGATGTAGGACTCGATCCCAGGACCCTGGGATCATGACCTGAGCTGAAGGCAGACACTTAGACGACGGAGCCACCCAGGCGTCCCTCAATATAATTATGTTTTGAGACTCACCCGTGTCGTTGCACGGCGCCGTACCTCACCCTGTGCTGGTGCTGAGTAGGACTTCAGGGACAGCGGAGCTATGACAAACAGATCTGACATAAACATCGGCATATGGATCTGGGGTGGGCACGTGAGTTCATCTCCCTTAGGGAAAGAGCTAGGAGTGGACTGCTGAATCATATGGGAAGTGCAGTATTTTGAGAAAATGCCAAACCATTTTCCCCAGTGGCTGTGCCATTTTACCTCCCCAAACTGATGGTTATGAAAGGCCCCTCAGGGTGAGCCTGGTGCTCGGGCGGGACTGAGACCCTGCCTGATGGCCGCCTGGGAGGCCTGGGCTGAAGGTCTGAGTAACATTGCTCAGGATCCCTGAGAGTAGAGTCCCGCCCGTCTCCATGCAGGACACACGTGGGAATCTCCCGGGAGCTTTCTACAAACACAGCGTCTGTCCCTTCCCCTGCAGTGACCCTGATGTGATTGCTCTGCAGACACCAGGCACGTGGGGGGGCTATCTCAGGCATCAGAGCTTTTCCTAACAGCTTCCTGGGTAGTTCTAGAGCACAGAGTGACTAACCCTCCTTGTTTGCCCAGGACCCCTAGGGGGGCGGTTCTGGGAAACTTATCATCACAAGACTAGGAAAGTCCCAGGTCCGCTGAGCACCTGGTCACCCTGTTTGTGGACCACTAGCACAAGGGCGTGGGCTTTGGTGTCAGATTTGCCAATCTCTCCGTGCACCGGGGATGTGTAGCTCACAGGACCGGTGTGTGTGTCAGGGGGCATTGTATAAGGGGGAAGCTGAGCCTCCACAACAGACTGTGGGTGACTCCTCTCTGTTTTCTGTTTCAACCAGGAGTAAGTCAGAGATGCCTCAGCTAGGAGTTTTGCTTGCTGTTAAAAAGGAGGGGAAAGGGGCACCTGGGTGGCTCAGTCGGTTAGGTGTCTGTCTTCGGCTCAGGTCATGATCCCAGGGTCCAGGCTCCTTGCTCAGCAGGGAGTCTGTAACTTAACCACCTCCCTCTCCTTCTGCCCCTCTCCATTCTTATGCTCTCTTGCTCAATTGCCTTCTCTCTCTCCCTCTCAAATAAATAAATAAATAAATAAAATCTTAAAAAAAAACAGTGTAGAAATTTCCATGTGGCCTTCCTTTGGCTCTTCCCAATGACAATACATCACATAACCATAGAACATCACCATCAGGGCGCCTGGGTGACTCGGTCGTTGAGTGTCTGCCTTCGGCTCAGGTCATGATCTCAGGGTCCTGGGATCGAGCCCCGAATTGGGCTCCTTGCTCAGCGGGAAGTCTGCTTCTCCCTCTCTTACTCCCCCTGCTTGTGTTTCCCCCCTTGCTGTCTCTCTCTGTGAAATATATAAAATCTTAAAAAAAAAAAAAAAAGAACATCACCATAGAACTAGGAAATCAACACTGGTACATACTATTCACTGGGGCATAGACCTCATTTGCATTTCACTAGTTTTTACCTGAATTCTTTTTTCTTTTTCTGTCCTGTTTCACTTTTTGTTTAAAAAGTAATCTCTACACCTAACATGGGCCTTGAACTCATGACCCCAAGATCAAAAGTTGCATGCTCTCCTGACCGAGCCAGGCGGGCACCCCAGTTCTGTTTCATTTTTGAGGATACTTCTGTATTTCAGAATATCATATAAACGGAGCTTCATTTTATAAACTGAGACTAAATTTAACTTCCATCCCACTGACTGGGTCTGCTGAAGCTTGAATTAGGTCCACCAAATTGAAGCCCAGAACAAAATTTATGAAAAACCTTCTTTGTGCTTCTAAATTATTTCTATGATGGATGACCTCAGATGATTTGCTATTTATACAATTTACCTGGGGGATCGAGGACCCTTTCCCAAAAGGCTTCCCGTGCATGAGCTGTGTGGTCCTCACCAAATTATTTGACCTCCGCAAGCTTTGTTTTTTCTCAACTGTAAAATGGGGGCAAGAATCTCACCCACCTCATGGAATTATGGCAAAGTCTTGCCCGCAGCTGGCAGCCTGTGGGGTGGAATGGAGGGTGTGGTCTCTCATGGCTATGGATGGTGACGAGGGGACACATGGTCCTGTCTTCCCTAGCTGAAACTGAGAATGCATGTCCCCAAACAACACTACTGCACTGATGTGAGACTTCAAGTGCATCGTGGATCTGTG